CCAGTTTGGGAGCCAGTAATTCCTTCAGCAGTGTCCCAGAGCTCTTCCACCTGCTTTCAGGTGCCTTCATTACTCAGCTTTGGGAAGGCAGTGAGAGGGCTCTGGCAGTGTCCCAGATCCCTCATGCCTCCTTCCCAAAGCCCAGCACTTCACTTTACCTTACCCTGCTTTGGGAAGGTGGCACGAGGGCTGTGGGACATTGTCAGAGCCCTCACACTCCCTTACCAAAGCCTGGTAAGTGAGGAATACCTGCTGGGTGCACTGGTGGGGGAAAATATAAATAAACTGAGAGCAAAGAACTGTGGCTCCCCATTCTTTTATTTCCCCCAGCCCATGTAAGGTTGCGATTACAAATTGCAGGCTTACTGTACTGTATGAAAAAGTACAGTACAGGTTGTGTTTTTTATCGGTATTAATCATTCTTATGTTCAACAGAATTGTTGGAAGTGAAAATGGAAATATGGGGGGGGGAGTACAGTGGTACCTCGGGTTAAGTACTTAATTCGTTCCAGAGGTCCGTTCTTAACCTGAAACTGTTCTTAACCTGAAGCACCACTTTAGTTAATGGGGCCTCCTGCTGCCGCCATGCTGCCAGAGCACGATTTCTGGTCTCATCCTGAAGCAAAGTTCTTAACCCAAGGTACTTTTTCTGGGTTAGCGGAGTCTGTAACCTGAAGCATATGTAACCCGAGGTACCACTGTATGGGGATGTGAAAAAGCCTATGCTTTCCTAGCAAATGGGCCAGTCCCAATTGTTTCCAGGTAATGTTGGCAATACTGAGCTCAGATGGACTGGTGGTCAGACTTGGCAGTTTCCTGTGTTCCTAAGAGATGGAACAAAACGTGAATGCATAGAGGTGCTATTGCAAAGACAGCATTTGTACAGATTTTTCTTAGCTAGGTGTATTTATGTAAAAGTATTCCACATCTTGTTGAACTTTTATGCTTAATTTACACGTTTGTTTGTTTTCTACAGCACTTGGTGTTTTGTATAAAACACTTGATTTCCTATTTAATCCCTGATCTTCCTAAAGATCTGAGGGATCGTATGAGAAGGGAAAAGTACCTGATCCAGGAAATGATGTATGAAGCAGAACTGGAGCGTCTACAGAAGGAACGGAAGGAAAGGAAGAAAAATGGGAAATCTTATCACAACGAGTGGCCGTAACTAAGCTGGGTGAGCATTTCTAAATGATACATCAGTTCAACAGTGTGAAACAAATTTCCCTGATTAATTTGAGAAACTCTCTAATCTTTAATACAATCAAGAGTTTAGATAACTGTTTTGTGGGCAAAGGGGCTTGAAGATAACAAGTCTGAAAATATAGCTAGCCTATCCTATTACTTGGGGTGGATAACCTCTGGCTCACAGTGTGTTACCAGTCAGCCACTGGGTTTAAAAATTGTGTTGCATATTTTTTACCAACATAACCATACCAAGCCTAATAGTTTAACTATAGAAGGCAAGGTGAGAAATAAGAGAGTTAAAGCCTACCATTATAGCTCAGGTAACCAACAATACAAATCGTGTTGCATTATGTTATGCAAGGTCCATCCTGTGGTACTTCTAGCATCAGTTTACTCCTTTTGTATGGTTTCCTGGTGATAAAAAACTCTTAGAGTGGTATGTAGGTTTTGTTCAATAAAACACAGGAATAGATTGTAAGGTAAGTTTTCTGAAAACATCTTTGCATTGGCTTAATAAAATGCAATTTATTTTTGTTTGTTCTTTTTATTATGTTCTTTTGTGTTCGGAACCACCCTGCGACCTAAGGATGAAGAAGGGTGGTATATAAATTGAAGAAATAAAATAATTTGTTCTATTGGCCCAACAAAAATTACCTTTTACTGTATTACTGTGTGTTTTTGAGCTTACTGTACATAAATCTTAGTCTGAAGGATCAGCATAATGTGTTGCTGCCACTGTTCACAGTGAGACATACTGTTTGATAATGAGTCCTCTTTCTGAGCAACAAGTTTCCCCTTTTGTCCTTCATCTGATTAAAATACAATCAATCCAATTACAGTCCCCCAAAGACAAAAATTGTGGCCTTGAATCCAGTTAGAGATTCACATTTGCTTAATCTCACTACTTGTGTGTACATAATGCAATATCCTTGCTATTTGGTTGAATACATGAATTGTGTCTCCTCATTTCCTGACCGGATACTATTTTTTGTTGTCGCTGCTGCTGCTGCTGCTGCTGCTTACATTTGCAGGTAGGATACCTATATTCCATTTGCTTACTACAGTTCCACGAGAACACTACCTTCAAGAGAATGAACAAAAGATGCAACCTCAATGCATGCCACAATCTGACATAGCAAACAGGACAGAACATGTCAAGGAGTTTTACTGTGAAATCATCTTGCAGTCTGCATATGATTGCTACTCATATGCTATTCTAAACAAGCATGCAACTCCAGTTTTTAAAATCAAGAAACTTATATACCGTGGACTATTTTTCAGCCTGTTTGCTACTCTTTTGCATTATGTTCCTTGTCACTTTTTCAACACTTCCAATAGTAAATAGACATAAAAAATCTGGGTACTTTAGCAATGGCTATTATAACATCTCCTATTAAAGTACCATGTATATCAGACACACTGATTACATATCTGGTAGCTCTTTGTTTTCATTTTTTTTGAGGGAAGATATTATATATCATACATATGTATAATATATATAAAGTATATAGAGATTGTTTATTGTAAATAGCAAAACAAAAAACAAAAAAAGCCCTATGGTTAAGAATGTCAAATTTTCACACTTAAAATATACCATCAACATAAAGCCATGTTTAATGCTTCAATAATGTGATAAGCTTTAAAAATAAATTATGGATAAAATTCTTGCTTTTTGTGTCTTCAAAAATTATTTTAAAAATCTAAGTTACTGGATGTTTAATATGACATTTTCAAATTTGATCATGTGATGGATCAGGTCACCTTTGAGACTGTTTGCTCCCATATAGGCCTGCTTGAGAATTAAGATCGTCGAAGACCTTCCTCTTGGTGCAGTTTCAAGATATTTGGTGAGTGAGCGCAAGTTACAGGAGCCTTGCAGTGCTGCCATGGTTCTGGAATACTCTCCCAGTCAAAATCTTCCTGGTTTTTCTCTTGCAGAGAAAATCACAGCGGGAAGTGTACAGGGGCAACCATGTAAAATGCAACCTTGCAGGTCACATGACCCTATAGGAATCTGTAAGATATAGTGCCACCAATAGGGTTTCCTCTGAGGATCTAAGTGAGGCATAGGCAAACTCGGCCCTCCAGATGTTTTGGGACTAAAACTCCCATCATCCCTAGCTAACAGGACCCGTGGCCAGGGATGATGGGAGTTGTAGTCCCAAAACATCTGGAGGGCCGAGTTTGCCTATGCCTGATCTTAGTGGTTCCAGCAGTCATTTATATGGGGGACTATATTTCAAGGAAACAAGCTGTGGACACCCTGAAGTGGAGGAGTGGGAGGCTTGTTAGTAACAGTGTAGTCATTATTGAGCAATACTTGGCCTCTGCTCCTAAGAACCCAGTGCTGCCCAGACTCAGGATTGTTCAAGAGCTGTCTGACTAGTGAGGGAGAGCTGTGGAGATGGAGTAGCTGACTTCTGCTAGCTACAAAGGCCTGGGAGACACTCTGCTCTGGTACTGCCTGAATTGCTTCAGCTTTGAAAGCAAATCAGGGAGCCTAGAAGCATCAGAAAAGATGTCAAAATAGATTACGCCAACAAAGGTGATGTTGAAAGTCATGTGTACAATGCATAGCTTAGGCAATGCAATCCATCCAGATTATAATTGGATGCCCCTCTGGAGATGAATCCACTAATCAAGTTTTAATTTGATTAAAGCAGCCAAAATAGTTGTATAATGTCAACTGGTCTCATAAATTTACCAGCTGCATGTTTGGGAGTACTGGCAGGGCTATACTAGGCTAAGAAAAAGCAAGGCTGCCAAGGAAGGATACCTTCCTTGATATAATCCATTCTGGAATTTGCTTTGAAGCTGATCCAGAAAGGTACAGAAACTGGGCTTCGAGTCCACTAGATTGTTTCATTTCCTCTTATTACAGTGCTCGGTTCCACTTCCTACTGAAATCATTCTTGCCGATATTCAACACAGAGGTTACCCGAGCCTCCAGTCACAGAGATGGCTTTAGGAGCACCCCAAGCTATGTACCTGTTTCTTTAAAGAGTCTGTGATTGTCTCCAAAATTGGTACACTCCCTGGTTCCCAGTCCTGGAAACTGCTCAACTGCAAGGTATCAATGTTATCAGTATCTATTTTGTTCATCCACAACTGCACCAAGGCACCAGCTGAAAAAGTCATTGCCTCTGCCGATTCCAGTAAAACAGAGAAATGAAGCTGGACGTCAGATGGCAGGGACAGGCGCCCAATGCCCTCTGTATGCTAATGACCCTGCCCAGCAGCAATCAATAGACAAATATAAAACAGTGAACTACATCCCTAGCTCTCTATTTCTTATCTTAGTTCCCTGAGATAAGTACCTTCTTAATAGTATTAGTGCACTCCTAAGCTTGTTTACCTAGGAATACGTTCCATTAGGTTCAATGGGGCTTCCTAATAAGCAAGTGTGTTTAGTTTTGCAGTCAAGTGTCCAAGCATTATATAGTAAAAATAAGATATGAAGCCCTTCCTAATAGCTGATCTCTTTCTTTTTCCTTAGAGGTTTCATGGAGCCTAAGTGTGATTTTTGCAACCAGTTCAAATCGTGGTTTTTTAGGGGCAGGGGTCCAACTGCTATTTGTCAGGGCCAAACAAGACATTACATGGGAAACATGGTGGTTAAGACTGTGAGACTAATTTTGATTCAGTTTTTACTGAATTGTTGCTTTGCCACATGCTCACGTTCACACAAAAAACAAGCAAGTTTGCTTGAACTTTGGTTACCAAACTGACTGTTTCAACATTGATTTACTGGGAGGGGGACCCAGAGTTTCCATTTTTAATTAGAATTAATAAAACCAACACAGCTGGACTTTGTACTGCATGCTCATTTTTATTTTTCACTTGAGATGCTTTTGAAGTAGGCCGCTCTTCCCTTTCAAAAGTTGGTTGCTCTTCCCTTCCAAAAGTAGGCCGCTTTTCCCTTTCAAAATTTGGTTGCTCTTCCCTTTCAAAACTAGGTTGCTCTTCGGTTCCAAAAGTAGATTGCTCTTCCCTTCCAAAAGTTGGGTGCTCTTCGGTTCCAAAAGTAGATTGCTCTTCCCTTCCAAAAGTTGGGTGCTCTTCCCCCCTTCCGAAAGTAGGGTGCTCTTTCTTTCTCTGTTATCTTCCAAAGGTAGGGTATCTTCTACAGCACCAGTTGTAGACGGTAATTGGCCACAAGCCACTGGCTGCACTGTTGGACGAAGCCTATTGGACAGCTGTACCTATAATTGAAACAGTCAGAATTTCATATATATAAGAAAATTCTAGTTCTCTTGCAAAGTCCAGTGCCAACTACGCTTAAGAGCACTAGTTTCTTTTTCTTTTCTTTTTTTAATATTTATTAAAGTTTCACAAAAAATAGAATCACATTACTAGTTTCAATGGGATTAGGTGTAAAAGCTGTGGTTGAAATGCATGATCCTGCTCCAGTAAATGCAGTGTGTGAGAAAATAAGAAGAGCCTGCTGGATTGGGCCTGCTCTCACAACAGCCAATCAGATGTCTATGGAAAGCACACAAGCAGGATTTCGGTGGAATAGCATTATCCCCTCCTGCCATTTCCAGCAGATGGTATTCAGAACCATAACCTCAAACAGTGGAGGTAGAACATGTACATCAGGATTAGTAGACACTGGTGGCCTTATCCATGAAATTGTATGGATCCTCTCTTAAATCCACTGAGGTTGGTAGTTATCACTACCATATAGTTTATGCTGAATGAAGAAAACATTTCTTTGCTCTATCCTTAATCTTTAAACATTCAGCTTAATTGAGGCCAATGAAGTTCTAGTGTTATGAGAGAAGAAACTTTTTTATACATCTTTATCATGTCACCTCTTATTTGCCTTTTCTCTAAACACCACCACCCCATCCTGCAACCTTTAGTCACAGGGGAGTCACTCCACTTTCCTTGATCATTTCAGTCGCCCCTTTTCTGAAGCTCTTCCAACTCTACAATATCCTTTCTGACATGAGGCAACCACAACAGTACACATTATTCCAAATGCAGTTGCACCATAGATTGATACACTGGCATTATGATGTGGGCAGTTTCATTTTCTTTTCTAATGCTCCCTAGCATGGAATTTGCCTTTTTCACAGCTGCTGCACACTGGTTCAACCTCTTCATTGAGCTATTACCTCAAGGTCTCATTCTTGGGCAACTGGAGACCCAAGCTTGGGGAACATTGCTCTAGACCATTTATGAACAAGTTAAAAAACAGGTCCCAACACAAGTCCTTAGAGGATTCTGCTTTCTACATCCCTCCATTGGAATAACTGTCCATTTATGCCTACTTTCTGCTTCCTGTTACTTGAACCAGTTTCTGATTTACAAGAGGATCTCTTCTTATTCCACAATGGCTAAATTTACTGAGAAATCTCTGGTTGGATTACTTTCTGAACTAGATCTTGCACATGTTCAAAACCCTTACACACCTGCTGTTGAATCCTATGTACCCAGGCCTTGGAGAAGGGCAAGGAAGTCCCACCAAGGGTGATGAGGTGACAGGAAGATCTTTAGTTGGAACTGGTACTCCACAAGGAACCTTTGTGCTCCTAGTGTATGCATGCTTGCATAGAATGTCTGAGATTAGGTTGTGAATTTAAATAAGCATACAGCATAGTTAAGATGGATAGACCCTAGGGTTGTCCACACTTCTGCTGGTCCCATGCTTTCTAGGCACCGGTGCCTTTGCTGCTTTTCCCTGGAAAACCTCTTTGGCAACAAATGGCAATTAATGGAAAATCTGACTGCCATCCACTCTGATTCAGCACTAAATTGCAGGTTTTCCTTGGAGAAGTGGCGAAGCAAGGATAAGCTATCTGCCTATGAAATACATATGAGAACTTAAAACCTTACTTACCCATTTATTTTTCCAATACCTGAAGTTGGCCATTATGTCCTCTTTGCCATACATAAGTTTGCTTTCCACATGTTGGTCTAATCCCCCTAGAAGATATTTTATTAACAACACGATCTCTCTCAATACTTTTTATTAAGACTAGTGCAGTTCAGGTACTGATATAACCTGATCATGTACACTCCTAGCCCAGGTGTGGGGAACCTTTGGTCCTCCAGACATTGATGAATTTTAGCATCCTTCAGCCTGAGTAAGCATGGCCAAGGATGATGGGCATTGTTGGCAAAATGGCAGCAGCGCAGGTGGCTTCCCAGCCACTCACCCAGAATGTATTGCTCCAAGGAAAGACCTTCACCCTAGTCCTTTCTCAGGACACAGGGAGGAAGGTAGCTGGCTGATGGTTCTGTATCAGCAAAAAGAAAAGAGGCAGAGAAGATGAGGTAATAGAGAGAAAATGCTATTCCTAGGCTGCTGATGAAACAAGAGGGCAGGGATGTGGCAGATTCTACTTTGGGCTGACTCTGCATCACCACCTGCTGCCGAAGGTGCAGGAGATTGGGTGCTGAGTTCCCAGCTGCTTTGAGCAGATCTGGCTCCACAGTGTTCCAAAGAGCAATCTGTGACCAATTTTGATACTGCTCTCTCAGGGAATAAGGTTAGGGATGCAGCTACCACAAAGCTCTTTGTGTGGCGTCTCTCAGTGGAGCACACACACATGCAAGGAGAGCACAGTGGTCTGCTTCTAAAATGCTTTCCCAATCCTAGTCTTTCTCAGGAACCAGAAGAGGGAGAAAATGGCTGGTGAGAGAGGCCGAGAAAGGGTTGTTCATTTTGTTTTCCTCTTCAGAGAAACAAGATCTGAGGAGAGAAAGAAAAGAGGCATTCCTCCCTCCCCCAGAGACAAAGATCTGAGCAGAGACGTAGGAGGACAGAAGAAAATGGCTGCAGAATTAATAGAGACAATGAGAAAGAAAGGTACAGGCCTGAGTAGAAGAATGCGGAGGACAGCAGTGTTCAAGTAGTCTGCTTCCAAATGGAGGCGGGAAACAAACTGAGGCCTCAGCTGAGCACTTTCTTTGAAGATACAGAGTTCCCTGCCTCTTAGTGATAGGGCACACTAAACTCACATAGAGACCTCCAACACCCAAGACAGAATGCTTGGATGCACCCACTAATGTGGATGGCCATCTGGGACCTCTAGATTCTGCATATAATTAGTTGTGCACGACTACACTTCTTCCAGGGCCAATCATTTCTATAGAAAAGGGCCAATACAAATTGAGCACATATCGTTTGTTAGTATGGACATAGCTGCTCAATGAAGACCTACATTTATAGGGGGAAATGACAGACAGACTAAACAAATCAGAAAGAACTGCAGACACAAATTTTGATGCTTATGTCAAAACCAGAAAAAGGTACCTGTTACTAAACTCATAATTGATCCCACAGTAAATGTGATCAAAGTTCCTAATGGGTTGAAGTAGAGATATGACAGTGAGAACCACCAGTAATCTTTTTTGCCAGGTCTGTAATTAAACAAATAAAAGATTTAATATTAATTTCATAGAATTATGCAATAATACTATCCACAAACACACTGAGAGGAAGTCAACATTGTGCTAAGATTATTGTTCTGCCAGGGCAAGCATTTTGGCTTGCCAGCTGGAATGGTTTCCCTTTCCTGCCCCCACGTGCTGTTCCAGGGGCTCTCCTGATTGTCCCCCTGAGCTAGTTTGTACAATGCAGGTAGAGGAGAGGGGGGAAAGCCCACAGCTCAAGCCAGTGTCCTTGCACAGGGTGTCCACTGTTGGGACTCATTAGTTGAATCCTACCCACTATAATTTAAACTGCTAAAGGCTGTACAAACCTCCGGAGAGTAAGTCCCATTGAATTCAATAGGACTTAGTTCTGAGCAGACATACACAGAATTGCAGTTGGTATGCAATCCTAAAGACATAGGGAGGATTATGAAATAGTTTTCTGTTCTGTGGGTAGGTAACCAACACACCTCTTTGATGTTCAGGCATACAGATCGCTGTATTAATGATACTTTGTTTACTTTTTAAGAAACTGAATGATAAGTAAAGCATCCATCATTAAAGTTACCAGATTTGCCTTACTGTATATATTTCAATTTATATAGGAGCACGTACATAATAATGTTTGTGCCAAAAAGAATCCTAAGAGGACCAACAATAACATAGTAAAGGTCAATAAAAAATGAAGTTAAAAGAATGTACGAAAACATACTATACTATACTATACTATACTATACTATACTATACTATAAAAAAGCCAAACAATATGAAACATTCAGTCGTATCAAATTTGTCACTGACTTCTTGTACGTACCTTGCAGAAGTTGTAGGATGGAGAGTAGTAGTTAACTGTGTAGTATTGTATTTTGTACAGTTTCTAACTGAAAGGGGCAATGGCAATGTTCTGTGTGGAGGGGCAGGGTGCCTCCGAGACCCAAATCCAATCCACAAAACAATAATAAACCCACAAAGTAGACCTGAAAATGCACCCTAAGAAACAAAGTTACACACAATGAAAGCTACACAATAACAATATAGAAAAATCATGTAAAAACCAAAAGGCCCTGGGTCCAGTTCTTTAAAGGAAATTAATGCCTCCTACCCAATATTAAACAAGTCTTATAGGCTACTTTTAGGGCACCATTTTTTAAAAGTCCTTGCCCTCAACCCAGCGCTCTGTTGCAGTTTCCCATTTGTTACAATGGAGAAAGCAGACCCACAAGCAACTGCAGAGAAATTCTGTGTGCCTATTTCTGTGTATATGGGACTCTGCATCAGGAAGCCTACCTGTAACTTAGTGAAGAAGTTGAAGCTAAGATAGCAACATCATATTGAAAATAAATTCTATTAACCAAAGTTAATAGACAACAAGGCATTTGCTTTTCTCCAAACATTTTTTTCCTGGAGAACTCTTTTCAAGAATAACTAAGAGTTCAAACTGGCTTATTTTTCAAGTTCCCAGTAGTAGAATGCACTCTACTTTTATACTGAAATTAAAGTACTATTGGTAACAAGTGCTTCCAGAACATGTGTTTTCACTTGAGCTTATTTGTGTTACTTCAACCTTGGATCTACGCTGCAGTTCTTAAAATTGATCGTAAAGGCCTTTAAGATGTAATAACTAAAGGACTGCTCCTTGTGCAGAGTTATCAGTACAGTTTATTTGAAGTTTTCTACAATGGAAAATGTTTTTTAGATTAAATTCATTGTATCACTTTGCCTTTTATATTTCAGGGTGGTTGAGATATAACCAAACCACTGTAGTCAGGACTCTAGGCTAACACTTTCCCCTTCCCTAGTGTATATGTGGTTTCTGCCTGCTTATCCTAGAAGAAGGGAGCCATAGTTTGCTGCTTCCAATGAAATGGCGAATTATGGATTGCATCCAACCAGGGTAAATGGCAGGGCAGGGCAGGACCACACACAAGGCGTTGAGAGAAAGTGGGTGAGTGCTGGGCTCCCAATTGCTTGTTGACAGAGCGCTAAACCATGGCATAGCATTAAGTCTTGTCTGAACAAAGAGTCTGTTTCACTCTGTGCGTGAAGATGCTTGGTAATGACGCAAGGAACTCTCTGAAATGCTAAAATATGAAAGGTGATCACCACTCCATACCCCGCTCCATTTAGGGAGAGTAGGATGAAAGACAAGTACTTACTTTAGAATTTGCAAAAGGCATGAGGATGCCCAATAAAAATATCCCCAAAAGAGGGCCACCAACTATTCCAAAAAGACTGAATGCCGCCTGAGGAAGGGAGGAAAAAGAACAACCTCTGGTAAGTACAGGAAGCATTACTTATTCTTTTTCTCCAGAATAGAAATTTACCTAAATAAAAATACCCATTTTCTGCTAGGGATGCAGGAGGAAATTTTTCAAGGTAAAATGTAGCAATACTTGTATATGGCAGGCCGAAACACTTCATGAGTACTTGCTGAGGGAGAATCCTCTGAACAAACTGAGGCCAATAAAATGTTTCATAAATGTGTGAACATACACCAATATTATTGGATGGATTTAACCAGAGAGAAGCAGCCCTCAAATGATATTGTGGCAGATGTCCCATGTTGCACTATATTCAGTGCCCTGTTAACCATTACCATAGCTCCGTGAACCTAATGAGAAAGAATAATGGTGCATCACCCCAATCTCTAAGCGGTGAGAGATTTCAGAGGTTCCAGGCATATACTCAGGCTTTGGTTTCCTTGGAATGAGGGGCAGTGGAACCTGTGCTGTCTTTACGATATGGTTTATTTCCAAATATACACAACCTGCGCCTACAATGGAGGGGCTCATAGCATTTTCATCCCAGAAGGTCTGGCTTCTCTCATAGCCACAGCCTTGGATTCAAACGGAAATCAAGCATGGCTCTCACTCTTTGCTTCCCGCTCTCACACACCACTCTGCCTACTGTCATTCTCACTACCAGCCAGGTGAGGCCCACTTGGCCTCTGGCACAAAGCAGCCTCCTTTCCTATACTAAAGACCCACACATAAGGCCCTTACCAAGGAGCTAGCCTGCCTACTTCAACAACGAAATCCCTCAGACTCTCAGCAAAACATTTTAATGTAAATTCCATTCTAGAAAGGAGACTTTCTAGTGTCTGCTTCATTTGTTGAAACCCAGGTTGATCCAGCTCACACTGAAACAAGGGCAAAACAATATCCCCTGGAGGGTGTGCCACTAAACCACAAAGATTATTGTGAACACCACTAGAGCATCTATGGGAGATCTGCAGGGGTCAGGCATGATTGGTCCTTGTCAAGGTGGACATAGTTTGGTGTGGGAAAAGTTGGACCCACTGAGTAATTGAGAATAATTTCCTAAGATCTTCATTGGGTGTATTGGTGGGCACACTGTTACCCCTGGTCATTGCATTGGCAACCCCCATGGTGTTCATCTCTACAGCAACTACAGGAATGGCTCCTATGCCTGCACATCTTGTGATCCTTGTAATAAGGTTTATGAGGTGAATGGTAATGATTCAAGTTGCTTCAATCCCTTTGGCGTAGGTCCATGAGCATCATATACCTTTACCTTCCTTTGCCATCAGGGATCTCAACCCTGACACAAATTAAAGGAAGTCTTTGCTTCCTGTCAGAATGGGCATAGATGGCTGGGGACCTTCAGAGAATCTCCTACCCTAGAGCCTTTCCCCCCCCCCTCCAAATTGTACTTTTGAGCCATCAAAGTGGTAGCAAAGACTTATCTCTGAGTCACTTCAAGTACAATTGGGCATGTCCTGCAAAGGTGGGTTAGCTGTCCCTTCTTCCCATCTGCCTGGCAGCACAACATATGTTTGTGTTGCATGTTTTGTTTTATGTAGTGGACCAGGACAACCTGATCCAATTAAAGATCTGTGCACTTCTCTCACCACTCCCACAGCATGGAATCAGAAAGGACCAAGAATACATTTCAATCTGAAATAATAACTTCTTAGGGAGGTAAACTAGTACCCTGCTATCTAGACAGAATGCTGGTAAACCTGGGAAAAGTCAATAGTTTCAGGACCTTTCTCCAAACTAAATGGGAGCAGATAGACTGAAGGATATTGAAAGCATTCCTGCCTCCCTCTGGTTATATGTGATTTTTACTTTGGGAATCATTGCAGGATAAAGGGAAGTGCAATAGTTTTGTTTCAAACTGAATCAGCATCAATTATATATGTTTGTTTTAGGTCTGTTTGAACAAGGGGAATGGCATCCGACTCCATTCTAACAAACTTCATGCACTGGTGAATAAAAACCCCAATGGTATTAACTGCATCCCTACTAGAGCAAGTACTTTAAAAAACAACACACCAATAGACAGTACAGTATAAGAATACCAGGGACAATCTACTTGAGCATAGGAAAAAGAGTAAATCAAATTTCTTGGCATACTGCATTTAAATCTATTACTTTTTCAATGACAGTTTCACTCAACATAGCCAGGTTAGAGTTTCATTTCCCAAGCCCACATAATTACTAAAGCAAGCTAGGGATGGTCTCCTTTCACTCTGCTTTAGAGCTCACCTGACTGCACAGGGTCTTGTCGGCAAATTGGAGCAGTCCAAGCAGTTTGCGACTTTCTAGGAGAGGAATTGCTCCTTCCCTTTTCTTTTCTTCCCTTTCATTTACTTTTTGAAAACCAGTAACTCTGCTGGTACCTTTGGCAGCTCAGGACGAGAGCTTGTGTCACCACCATTCTTCCTTCCCAGAGTGCCTTTGGGAAGATGGATGATGGTAGTCACTGAAGCTGCCAGCAGAGCGCTAAATTATGAAAATTAACCTTTTGGAAGTGCACACAACAATACAGCAACTTATTTTAAGAAGGATGAGACTTAAAATAGCAGTTAAATGACACCTACCTGTAAAAAACTAGACATAACAGATGCCACTCCAGCCATGGAAAGGCACACTGAACCATACAGCACCTCTAGTTGGATAAATGCATAAAACGTTTATAGGACAACTTAATTATGCAACTGACTTTAAAGTTTCTCTGTTTGCCAATTATAAAATCACATGTGGCTAATAGGATTTACTCTGAAGAATGCTCAAACCAATAAACTGCCATTTCCTCCCCCCCCCCTTAGCAGAGGACTAATATGAAAATAATTTTCCAAGAGCCTTAAATGATAGATATTGGTTTAAACATAATACAATTAGCACATGAAATTTCTGTTACACCCTATTTGCATGGCTAAAAAAAGCTTACTATGCATGTTTAGCTGAGTATCATTTATGACTAGAGTAAGAAACTCCCTTGTGCAACATCTTCCTAATAAATTTGAAATTGCCATGTTACTCTTGCCTAAAATCAGTTATGGCCTAAAGCCAGAATGGTTCAGCAACTAGAGTTGGACTTGGATCTGGGACACCTAGCTCAAATCCCAGCTCTGCCAGAGGAAAATGGTGGCCTCCCGGTTGTTGTTGGACCTACACCTGTTCTAACCTTACCCCATATCTTTTCTAGTATAACTCAGTTGTATTTTGTTATTAGCAGGGGAGGAGGATACGGAGTTGTTTTTTAAAGAAAGAAGATGTCACATGTAAACTTACTAGTTCCAACGGAAATCCATGCCAAGTTTGTTTCAGAGACTTTGAAATTAGGTTTAATAAGATCTTCTACAGTTACAACAGCTAACGCATTGATGCTGGAAGACAATGTACTAAGGAGTGTAAAATTAAAATATTTTGCATCTTTACGGACAAATATTTAAAATATTTCAATAGTTCAAAAATATTAAAAACTGAATCAAGGGAATTAAACTAATTTGAGGAGCTGCAGAAACAGAGTTTTAATACAGATGACCAACTAACAAAGCAGTAAGGGGTTTTCATCACAAATTTGTTTAGTCATTTATAAGAATAATAATAGATTATTTATACCCCGCCCATCCGGCTGGGTTTCCCTAGCCACTCTGGGCAGCTCCCAACAGATTAAAAACAGAATAAAACATTAAATATTTTTAAAATTCCTAAACAGTTCAGATGTCTTCTAAAAGTCAGATAGTTGTTTATTTCCTTGACATCTGATGGGAGGGCGTTCCACAGGGCGGGCACCACCACCAAGAAGGCCCTCTGCCTGGTTCCCTGTAACCTCACATCTTGCAGTGAGGGAACCGCCAGAAGGCCCTCGGCGCTGGACCTCAGTGTATTGACAAAACCATGGTGAGATTCTACCCCCTTCTACCACGATTCTAATGCTAGTTAAAAGTTTAGAGTCGGTAAGTGGAATGACTTTCCTACATTAACCACTTGGTAAATTTATCATCTGTATTAGCATTCCATGGAAAATGACATCAAGTGTGGAAAACATTTTTTCCAAGCTATAGAGCTGGTATCTCCACTGTAGTGCCACTGGCACCACAGCTCCTATGAGGTTATACCAAGTTCCCCACTCAATGTTGGAACTTACAATAAGTCGGAACTCATATTTTCTTTTTAAACTTAAGACTGTGCACGCATTTCCGACATAATACGCAGTTGTGTTTCAAGGCTAATTTGCCTATCACTGTACACATCAGCACTATGAGATGTGTACTGAAGTTACCCACTGTACCAGAGGGCGGAGTGATGTCTTCACCTGACAGAATTGCCTGGTTAATATCCCCACCCTGTCTCCAAAATTCCAGGTGAAAGGGAAGCCTTCTCAGATGTACACACTTAGGATTCAACACAGCTTGAATAAGGACACAGTGCTTAAGTTACATTGAAGCTTGAGAGAAAAAATACCAAAATACAGTATTTCACCAGAAACTACAGAATTGCTCTGGTTCCTGGGTAATGCCCACAGTTTAAAAAAATAATTGGTGAGGGTACACTGGATCAGAATAAATGTTAACAGGCCCAGCATGCACTTGTTCTCAAAGTTAGCAGTACATGGGGAAGATAAGGTTTAAGGCATCCTTGCAAGTGTAAATTCCTAAATGTCAGCTTCCGCAACATAGCAATTAGCATTTAAAGCAAAGAGTCCCTTTGCTTCCAATGGGAGTTTTTTCCTAATGCTAACTGCTGAACCAAAAGGGCAATTTTTATGGACTTTAAGTCTGTAGGGGTTTAAATCTCCTTCTTTCACATCCTATTACCCTTGATAATATCTGCATGCTCCCCATGTTTTAACATCATACAGTTTCTAATAATGTTAACAACGCCTGTGGTGTTAACTAGCCTTTGAAGCATTCCTAGCATCCTGCTGATTTCCCTTCTTTTCTTGTGAAACATTATGGTTGTGATAAATCAGAGTAACCTATCATGAAGCTTCCACATGATACAACAACAGATGATTGAGGGCCAAAATGTGCATTATATTATGTTAATGTAAGGTTTGGTGTTGCATTTTATTTATCTATTTATTTCATTAAATTTATACACCGCTTGATTTTTAAAAAACCAACAACCTCAAAGTAGTTTACAAAGAAGATAAAACAGTAGCAATATGAAAAAAAAATGCAACAATAATTTAAACTTTCAATAAGTTAAAATAGCAATAGATTCAAAACGGATTAAAACTCACTTCAACATCTATGCATTTTTAACTCTAAGTAGAAGCTTTAACTTCTAATTTTGCCTGTGCCACTCACAGCGGTAATTTAATGTTAAAACAATAGTGACTGCAAAAATACACCATGTGCTTAACATAGCTTGTCATTTGTCCTGAGAGTCACAGTTTTAGCATAAAAAGATGGGCTAGAACTAATCACTTACTTTCCAGAATCTAGATCTAGGATGGCAATTTGCAAATTTACCTTAATGTTCCACTGAAGGTCCCAGCCACAAAAAGTCCCGGAAGTCCCGGAAAGTCTCCCAAAATATCCATCACAAAATATGGCATGATCTAAAAAAAAACACCCCCAAAATTGAGGTTTTAATTTTTTACTGTCATTTAAATATATAACCTGTGTCTGAATAATAGAACTTTAAACATTTTAGTCATGTCATACTATGTTCCATTTAAACTGTAGCTCTCCAACGGAGGCCGTGGCTGTGAAGAGAAATATGCTTTGATCTTCTGATGTGTGAGGCATCTTGGCATATTGGGTACTCGCTACAGCTGGCATGCACAGGGCTTGGTGCCCAGTGCTTATGTCATGAGGGAGCTTATGTTGGGATGTAGAGTGTGAGCTTGTGAGTGTGAGCCTTGGCACTGGAAAATCTCTGTGGGGCTGGCCTACAGACCACCCGTGAGTACTGACTTGATTTCTTTGTGGGTCGAGAAACCCATTTTCCAAGGGATGTCATCATCCACAGCTGAAAGAAGTGAGGAAGAGATAAAGAGCAGGTGAGCAGCTGCCTCCTATGCCAAACAGGCATGTAAAGAATCCTGGCCAGAGCCACAAAAAGGAAAAATGTGCAAGAGAACCTCCAGGTTGCAGACAAAAGCTGCAAACCTATGACTCTCCTAAACTGCTCCACTACTTCAACAGAGGGCAGGGGAAAGCTAAATGTTCATGTTACCTCTGACTGTTGCACTGAATCCAATGAGTTTGACTCAAAAGACATCAGCAGATGCCTTTTGTGCCGATTTTTAAATATCTGCTGAAAACTTTTCCATTCTGCAATTAAGCATGTGTCCTTCCACAATGGTTAATTGAGATCTGTTTTGAACTGTTTTGAACTTTTATGGTTTTATTATATTTGTTTTTATTGCTGTAAACTGTATTTCTTTATGATGCAGCAGTATACAAATACTTTTATAACTAATTAACGTATCATTCCTGTATTGTTATAAGTTCGGATATTATTTAAGTTCAAAATAAAGATTTATTTTCAAATATGTGGCTTCAGTTTATTTTCATACACCACACTTTTTTGTTGCAGAAAAAATAAAATTATACAACTGCATAAATATAAAATTCTTATTTCCTGATTTCATTATATCTGTCCATTATTTCAAGTAAAATAGCACTTTCCTTTATTCCTATCTGTCGTAATATGTTAATAATGTTATCTTTCCAACAGCCCTACTCCAAACTCAAATAGTTCCATGGGAGATACACACAGAGTAGATAAAATTCATATTTAAGTATTTCACTCAGTAGTAAACTAAACCTGATCTGGTGCTGACACAAAGCCGGCAGTCCATGGGTCACAATCCTTGTATATAGAGTACATTGCAAATCCACATCCAATTGAAGAACACAGAATTAAGCAGAGTCCCACAAGAGTTATATACAGAGATCTGTTTAAAAAAAAAAGTTAGAGAAGAAAGCTAACAAAGCTTTGTTCTTGCCAAAATTACTTTAAAATAGAGGAGTACTGCCACATTAATGTATCAAGGTTCTCAGACTCCAAGAGCAGCAGAAGATTGTAAGAACACATATCTAGATACATCATGCCTCATAAAAAGCCATCGGATGCAAGGGAAATCCTGTGAATTAATGCAAGGAGTTTTTAATTTCAGGGTATACCACCAAGCTTTTGGACAGCTTTGCTGCACAGAGAATAGGTCTACTCATGGCACTCTCTTTCTGATGTGAAAGATGTTTCCTGCATTGGCAACACTACAAATTATTGCTAAGCACAGATCTGGCATTGTTACAGGTGCCACATTCTAGTCATTTCATAGTTCGAATACAGAGAACTTTTTTAGTTCCTATACTTTGGAACTCCCTGTCTATTTATATCAGGCAGGTGCCTTTGCTGTACTCTCTGGCTCCTGCTTATAGCATATTTTAATCTCTGTTGAGTTATTACAAAATGTATTGTCCTTAACTATCTTATTGATAATTATAATATTTCTAGGGGTTTTACTGCAATCAAGTGGTATATAAATTTTGTCATATAAATAAATAAGCAAAATATTGATATCTAGTATTAATTTATCATATTAGCAAAATAGATATTTAGGTAACTTATTTTCACCAACATGTTTTTTTGGTAAATATGCAATGTAAGAAGAAATATGCCCTTTAAAAAGAACAGATTCTCCAAAATGGCAAAGTACTCAGCAATTGCTCCAATTCTGCATGGGTGATCCAATTTTTGAAAATTACCGTATATACTCGAGTATAAGCTGACTTTTTCAGTACATTTTTTGTGCTGAAAAAGCCCCCCCTCGGCTTATAATCAAGTGAGGCGGGCGGCAGCGGCGGAGGGATGAGCGGCCTGAAAGGAGCCCTTTCGGGCTGCTTGTTCTTCCACCGCCGCTGCCACCACCACCAGGCTTGTGATGTGGTGAACTGGCTTACACTCGAGTCAGTAGGTTTTCCCAGTTTTCTGTGCTAAAATTAGATGCCTCGGCTTATATTTGGGTCGGCTTATACTCTAGTATATACGGTAGTTTCTAACTACAAATCATATTTCTCTGAAGTTAATGCACAAAAATATGTTGCATGGGGAACCCATTAGCTGAAAGACAGGGCAGCCATCCTTACAGGCAGGAGCATGTCAGCCTCCTACTGCTGCACTTCAGAATATGTGAATTGCAACAGTGGTACCTCTGGTTGCGAACGGGATCCGTTCTGGAGGCCCATTTGCAACCTGAAGAGAACGCAACCCGCGTCTGCGTGTGTCGAGATTCGCTGCTTCTGCGCATGATGTTATTTTGCACGTCTGCACATGCGGCGAAACCCAGAAGTAACCCGTTCCGTTACTTCTGGGTCGCCGCAGAATGCAACCTGAAAATGCTCAACCTGAAGCAAACGTAACATGAGGTATGACTGTACAATATATGGACTTACTTTTTTGCCTCACGTTGCGATCTGCAGGCAAGGTATCGTTGAACTTGACAGTGATTGGTTCCATATATGCTAAGCCAATTGAAAGTACCACCAACAACTACTGTCCAGAATGTATGCCTTCGCAGAGGGTTTGGGTCAAAGCTAAGAGACAAAATATATGTATTTTAAAAGTATAGGTTTTGACATACAAATAAATCTGAGGAGTTTAGTGAAAGAAAAGGGGGATTTTAGAACTTTTCAAAAAAGAATCCTCTTCATCCCAGTCTACGCTCTGGGTGCCTGGGTGACACCCCCAGTACCAAACTATAATTTATTTATTATTATTATTATTATTATTATTATTATTATTATTATTATTTATATGCCACCAATCTGACTGGATTACCCCAGCTACTCTGGGCAGCTTCCAACAAATTAAAACACAGTAAGACATCAAACATTAAAAACTTCCCTATACGTGGCTGCCTTCCGATGTCTTCCTAAAGGTGGATGGCAGTATTGTTGGTTAACAGGATATATCACCCATAGAACATACCACCCTACTGACACTAGGAAATATTTATTCAAGGAGTTTCAGATTGGTAGTAAACTTCCTTTTATCTATGTATGTATACCTCTCATGCTCACTTTATGTGAAACTATCAACTCATTGAGTTGTAGCCAACTAAAAGCTCATCCAGACTTCCTTTTGCACTGCGCTTTCCAAAAGGAGGTCTGCACTTTTCAGGTCCGAGTGGTTCTTGTTTTGTCCCAGCACCTTCCCAAGAAACACTTACCGTTTATCACTGAAGTGGAACAAACGGCAATCTGCAGAAAACCCAATTGCCACTTGTTCTAATTCAACAGCAATGCTTTTTTTCGGGGGGGGGGGCACAGCGGTACGGATACCCCTAAACATTTTGTGAATCTAAGTTTGGCCTCATTGAGGGGCAGTATTCCAATATGAGTAGGTAACTACCCCTAAATATATTTTTTTAGGGGGGGAAGCACAGTTCAACAGTAAACAGTGTGTTTCCTTGTGGAAAGTGCCAGGACCAAAAGAAGAACTTCTTGCACATGGACTTGAAAAGTGCAAATCCGTTCCTGGAAAGTGCAGTGCAAAAGCAAATCTGGAGAAGCACTGCGTTGACACCCAGCTGTTTGAAGTTTTTCCAGATGAGTTGGTCATTAGTGTGATTATTTTTTACTGTTTATGGTATTTTAAGGTTTACCGTACTTGCATATTTTTAAAAAAAAAATTATATTTTTAATAAATGGAAGTGTCTAATATTTTTATATAAATGAATAAATAAATCATACTTGAAGTAGATCCAATCTAAGTTAGTTAAAGTCCATTGATTTCAATGGGTTTAATCTGAGTATGGCTCAGCCGGATACAACTGCCTATAGTTTATCCATGCTCATGAGATTTTATCAAGGATGCTACTTCTAACATTGTTGACTCACTGAAACCTAAACACCAAAACTTTTAACAATGTCTAAGGTATTACATTGCAGCCTAACCAAAAATACACTTACTCCCATTTCGTTATTCTTCCTCCATCGACAGCATCATCTATAATAGGACCAATTCCTCCTTTAATAATCAGAGCCCGTATAAGCACTGCCAGAAGCGCACATATCATCAGCGTAAACTGGAAAACATCTGTCCAAACTACTGCTTTTAGGCCACCCTATTTGGAAAGAGCAGATACAGTATGTAGTAAAGAGGTTTAGTTCTACCTATAGTTCTGTAGAATTGCTTCAATTTTTATGCACCAGTTCCTGTGTCCTTGCTCAGTTAAATAATCACACTAATTTTAACAGCATTGACTTTAAATTTAGCTTTAAATTTTAAAGAGAGTTTCTAGCCATAGCAGCGAAGCTGCAGGCAGTCTCCTAGGCCAGAGGTTTTCAACCTTTGAGTCCATGGCTCCCTTGACAAACTACATTATTTCTGCAGCTCCCCTGTGGGGAAATGTGCTCCAAGCCTCAGAAGCCCTGTTATGCCACCCCTTGCCTGCAGAGTCGGCATCCCCTCACCCCTTTTCAAACTCTCCCTTGTAGAGAGTTCCCTCAGCCTCCTCTCTTCTCCCCTCTTCTTGGAAGTCATCTGGGCAGCAGCCACCACTGCCCCTGGTCTCTGAGCCGCCCCGTCCCCCACCCCAAAGAGAGGTACCTCCTCATGCTGCACCCCCGGGGGGCCTGGGAAGAGGATGCCCCCAGCCTTAGTAGCCCGACAGAGACTGGCCAAAGGTGAATGTGAGGCCACCATCTTATTCACCCTGGAAGGCAGCAGTGGGTGCCACTGGGCCTGCATGGTGGAAAGGCTCCCCTTTGGCTCTGGATTCTCACCTCCCAGACAGGCAGGCATTGCACACAGCAAGCACAAGAAAGGCTAACACAGCCCCTGCCTGCCCAGCCGGCCTCCCACTTGTCTGTCCGTTCCCAACAGCAAAGACTGGCGAACAGGGCTCCCTCACCCACTGTTTGCTTACTCCAAGGCTACGTCAGCTCCAGGAAACCAGCATCTCTTGGCCAGTCCCAGAGGCACCAGTTGCCTGAGGAGCTTGTAGCCAGGGCTGCTGCAACAAACAGCTGTACAAGCCTTTGGGAGGCAGATTCGTCACAAGAGGGCATCAGAGGGAAGGAGGGAAGGAAACACCCCTGACCATCCTTCAAGGCACCCCAGGGTGCCGTGGCACACTGATCGAAAACCACTGTCTTAGGCCATCTTGCCAAGAATGCCTTGCTCGAGAGGACTCCCAGTGCTTGTCAGAGAGAGAGACAGAAAATTTAAGGATGTCACGGACCATTACAGTTGTCAAAAACCAGTATAAGTATAGATAAGCCCACAAAAGTTCATGGGCTCCTACATTTTTTACTAGCCTGCTAAGAGGATGTGATATCAGGCTATGGTCTGAAAGCATTTGAGACCACCTTGCTGAAGCTAAGCAGGCTTGGGTTTGGTCAGTACCTGGATGAGATTCTCCCTGGGAATCATATAGATGGCCTCATTGATATGAGCCTCCTAGCAGACCAGTCAACCAAACAACCAACCAACCAACCAACCAACCAACCAATCAATAAGAGTGTTCTAGCAGACAGAGAGATGTAGCAATCACTGGATTAGAATTCCTTGTTATAGTTACCAGGGTTCTATATGCAGTTATTCTTTATTTTTTACCACATAAATCTTAAATAGAACATTTGTTTATTAAAACAAGTTCTTAACATACCACTGTGCAATAGAAAGTACAGATTACTGCTGTTGAAATAATAGACTCCCACAACTGAACTCCTGTAACTGAAAAAGGGGGGAAAGATACATAACACAATTAAATTAAATAATGGAAAGATAGCAAAAAATAATGCATATGAAAAATCACCACATTTATGAATTTTAAGCTTGCTATTGACAAGGAATATAAATACTTATTCAACAGTAAGCAACAGGTATACTTGAGCACCCAAGCTCTGCTTTAAAAAGTCCAATGAAGGAGAGTCCACCACCTTACATGATGGTCTGTTCCACTGTTGCACACTTCTACCATCACGTGCGGGTTGCAATTCGGCACTTCTGCGCATGCACGACCGCCTAAACCCGGAAGTAACCCGTTCCGGTACTTCTGGGTTTCGGCGGTCCGTAACCCAAAAAAACGCAACCTGTAACCCAAGGTATGACTGTATATTGACTTTGGTGTCATACTATTTACACACAGCAGGGCAAACATAATTTCACTCATGTTTTTCGTTTAACACCTACAGAAGTCAGCCTACATCTTGCAATATCACATTAAAGATAACAGGTCAAACTTTTCCTTAATTTTTAAAAATGTATTTAACAGTATTTCCACATTACCTTTATTCAAGGCGTGTGATGGAGAAAATAGAACAATTCCAGTGTATATTATCTGAGGAGGTGGAACAAATAAACATCCATGTGAAATATATGGTCTCTCTCATTTGTCCTATGCCAGCTTACACTGATTTAAATGTAAAATAGCAACTGTTACTAGATCAATTCATTGAAAAGAGTTAGGTAAATTTTAAACTTCACAGACTCTCATTCAGGCAGAACTGAAGCAAATTATAAAGGTAAACTATGTAGTAGCTAGAGAGCAGGAAATGTTTCAAAATGAGGTAAATAATAAACCTAAACACCAGCAGAGTCTAGAATCTCAAAAGGTGAAAACCCTTCTCATGGTTCATCTTACAAAACTAAATGAAGACCTGGTATTGGTAGTGGCACTGTGATTTTTTTCTTTTTCAAATGAAAAGCCATTGAAGGAATAAACCCTTTGTATATGACCCACTTAAAGCCCTGCCCAGACTTTTTCTAGAATTCCATTCATTTATTCATAAAATGACTGCCATTGCTGCTTAAAGCCAATGGAAAGTAGTCCACCCAATACATATCTATGTATTGCTATGTTAGCATTTATAGTAAAAAATTGTTGTAACACCATGGTATTTGGCTCTGTTCAAATACAAACAAACAAATCATCAGACAGTTCTTAGCATACTAACAATATGCCTGTCATTTCAGCTGCATCAACTAACATGAGACCCAAAAAAGACATCTCATAATTAATGCACTTTTAATAGACACTTGAGATTCTTTGCTGCAGTATGTATATACATACAGTAAGCAGTGAGCCCTGTAAGCAGCGAGCCTCTGTAGAAGACCAATGCGCTTTGCCTATTTCTCTTCTAGCAATTATTATCTTTATGCCTATACTCCCTTGTAAGTAGCATATTGTATAACTATATTGTGAAGGGTTTGAAGAAATCTGTATTCTGGTACAATCCTCTACAGCCAAATGGTCCTAATAGATCAGCCCATGGTATTCAGTTTAGGTAAAAAGAGAGGTATATTATGGCACTCGTAGGATATTAGGACATAAATGAATGCATTATTCCCTGTCCCACTTCCATCTATTTCTAACAAGAAGGGAACATAACTGAAGTTTGCATCTTCTCTGCAAAATGTGGTCCTTGGGAAAGTGATAAATAGAGAACTAATTTAAATCTAAAGCAAGGCCAAGCGATCTATACCACACTGCATAAAGATGTCAAACAGTAGCCAGATACGGCATTTCAATTGATAAATTATCAGCATTAAGGTCAAAGAAACTAGTTGGGAGTAAGAGAAGCTCTGGAAGTGACATTTATATTTAATACTATGTAACTAAACATTATGGTCCAACTATAATTTACAATAGAATAATACAAAAGATCATCATCTTGCACTGTACTTGCCGTTATTATCATAAACATCACTGTTCCAAGCATGCGTATATATTTATTGTATCGAAGCTGCAAGTACTGCAAAAGAGACAAATTATTTTATACAGAACATGCATATTTATATGAATCTACTTAATACAGTATGTAGAAATAGTATTGACACCATTCCTTTAAAATGAAATTAAGTATCTCAGAGAATTAGCTGGGTAAATATCAGAGTTTGTCAATGCAACTTTGTGCAATTACTGAGATGACTCCTCTATAGCTATTTGAAGCTGTGGGGAATGAGGGCAATTTAGGTCAGGAAAAGGAAATGAGAGGAAAGGAATAAACATCTTCTTCCCAGAGTATTACCTCTTCGTATAAACCTGCTCTGTCCAGCTTCCAATTACTTCTTGTTTTTAAGCAGGAGACCCTAATTATAGATCTCCTGAATCATTTTTTGTATGTCTGGGTTTGCTGTTGCCTGATAAATATGCTTATGTTCTTCTACATATTTTTTCCTGTTTAAATGGCATATATGACTAAGAGAAAAGAAGGGAGAATGCAAGTTGCAGCCTGTTGAAGATTTTCTTCCCCATCCCCACATGAGAGTTTGGAGTGAAAACATTTGAGTATCTCTAGGATGAGGGCTTCAAACAGTTAAATTGCATTCTGCTCGTGCCTGCATGTTGTAGAAGTTAGTGTTGTACTAGAATTGTAGAGACTTGGGTTTCTAATCCATTCAGCCATGAAGCTGACCTAATCCACTTCAGAAGGATTATCTAATACAGGGGTTCCCAAACTGGGGTTCATGGACCACCATTCAGGTGGTCCAAGGCTTGTCTGTAAAAATAGTAACAGATAATGCAGCATCTAGCACAGTGTATTAAAACTGCTATGAAAGACAGAAACAACAAGCAGTAGCAGTACACCCAGATATTTTGCAATTTCCAGGTGGTCCATAGGGACAAAAATTTGGAAACCACTGATCCCGGAAAACTGGAAACAAGGTTCTCTACTCAAAGTTCCTTGGAGGAAAAAGTAGGATATAAAGATAGCAAATAAACACAGGGATAAAGTAATAATCAGTGTTCTAATGTTATTCACTGAATCACTGAATTGTAGAGTTTGAAGGGAGCTCTTGGGTTATCTAGTCCAACCCCCTGCAATGCAGGAATCTCAGCTAGAGCGCTTATATTTCACCATCTGTAATTCTAGTTCCATTTTATTTTCTTTAGAATCAAAGAGTTAACCATAATATGCTCTTCATTTACTTAAATTGTCTTTTTTAACAAACAAAACACTAAACACTAATTTATTGGAAATAAAAATCCAACGCCATGGAAAAGGAATGTTACCATTAGCACGTGAAATTTTCCTTAAATATGAAAAAATTTTTTTTAAAAAGATAACATATGCATTGGGAGCCATTTGCCTGTACTTATTTACATTACTTTTTCTATCTAATATTCTGATCTGTGTTTTTACATTTTTATCTGTACGCTGCCTTGAGTCCTGGTTTGGGGAAAATGCAGGGAAAATGCAGGCTCAATTGAAAGCTGCTCCTTTCCACCCAGGCCCACAGGTAACATTAATGGGGGGAAATGGGCCACAGCAACAAGAATGCCTCTTGCAGGGAACCAGTAGTCTTCAGCCCTAGGAACAGGTTTGGAAAGGCCATGGCAACCTCCTACCTACCTCATAGGTGCTGCCGATATCCAGCCTGTAGTAAATGGGTAGAAACACTTCGGCGCTGATCACCACCATGATGCAATAGGCAATACCGATGAGTCCCGCAGTGCTCCCAAAGCGGTAGACCTCAGCCGGGTTCTCCAGCATGGTCAACGCAGACGTGAAGCTAGCTGCGAGGGAGAATGCCACAGGCCAACAATTCAGGCTGTGGCTGCCCATCAAATAGTCACTGTGACTTTGATGGGCTTCGCCCATGGCGACAAAGATGCCAATGAACACAGAACCCAACAGCATGGCCGCAAAGACCAGCTGGTCAAGATCCGTGAAGCGGTCGGCAGGGTCTAAGTCGTCGAAGCGGGTTGACATGAGGCCCAAATTGAAGGCAGCAAATATAGACAAGAGGAAGACGGAAGGAAGGAGGAAGGGTCTCGCTACCCTGGAAACAATCGCAAAGGAGGCGCTTCTAGGGCCGCATAACCTCACGGATGCCACCAGCCGGGTGCAAAGTCTTTGCCCGCATGCCCATTGCCCCCTTTGCCCCGCTGTTCTCTCCTCAGTCCTAAATCTTTTCTTAAAGCTAAGCCTAACTCTGTGTGGAGAGGCCGTGGGTTTTTGGAAGTGCCTTCATCTTTAATTTAAAAAAGAAAAATAGCCTGTCTTAATTTTGAGGAAAATGGAGGTGCTGCAACCCTGATAACTGGTAGGTATGAAATTATTTTTTGCGGGGGTGGGGAGGCCTGTAGAAAATAGAACAGACTCTCAAAGTGGAGAACTTCAGTGGGGAAATGGTTAAGAAGATGTCCCAGGAGAAGTGAAGCAGCAATGTCATTGGGGGAAAGGGGGGGGGGGAGGCCTGAATAAACAAGGCTTTGCTACAAACAGAAAGACAGGAGAAATAGGAACCCCAATACTTGGAGAGGTAAAGAAGAATGGCTACAGTTCTAGAGGGAAAGAAAAGGGAACCCCAAGGTCAAATGGGTAAAGAAAAAACAGAGGAGGCGCTCCTTTCCCTAGAGAGGCCGAGAAGGAAGTTGCAGACAAAATGGCTGCCAGCAGTAAAAGCCATGAGTCAGAACCTTTGATTAGGGAGGGAGGGGGGATGCAGAGGGGTTTGTTTTCTTAAAGGGATATTCACTAATAAAAGCAAGTACAGGGGTACCTCAGGTTACATACGCTTCAGGTTACATACGCATCAGGTTACAGACTCCGCTAACCCAGAAATAGTGCTTCAGGTTAAGAACTTTGCTTCAGGATGAGAACAGAAATCGTGCCCTGGCGGCATGGCAGCAGCGGGAGGCCCCATTAGCTAAAATGGTGCTTCAGGTTAAGAACTGTTTCAGGTTAAGAACAGACCTCCAGAATGAATTAAGTACTTAACCCGAGGTACCACTGTAAGGTAGTTCTCAGAGAGGGGAAAGGGATAGAACTCTCCCATAAACCCGAGTCGTCCATTTGTGTTGTAGCAGAACACATAGGTGAGGGGGAAATCCTTGCACCTTTCAGCAGAGGCAATGAAGGTCTTCTTTTCCATTTTTGTATGTTAGAGGAAAATCAAACCCTTTTTCTGTTCAGTAAAGTAACAGAGGAGCGAAATATTCAATATCAGGGAGAGATTCTCAAACTACCTGTTTGGAGGAGGAGCATTTTCTGTTTGGTTTATCTCATAGCCAAAAATTATATACAGCAGAACATTGATGGAAGTTACTGATGTAGATGACAAAATTGAATTTAGGAAGTCAAACTGCTGCATTAGCAGCACCGAAGTGACCTTCCACAGTGCACAAACCTCAGCACTGTGTACGGGGGTCCTGGGCTGCCCAGATGACAAGACCCCCACTTCTCAGCCTCGCTAATATAGTCCAAAGGAAAGCAGAGCAGTACGTCTTGCACCAGCTTGGCTGCAGGCGTTGCCGAAAGGAAGCGTCTTATGAGCTCCACGCCAGATTTGTGTAGCGTTTACTCCTTTGACTTTTCTTCTCCCAAAGACGACAGTGGAGGTTTAGGATCAAAGCTTTCCTTCATCTAGATGCACTACCTTCCCAGTTTGAAGAGTCCCATCTGCCCCATACTTCCCCCTACAGAACATGAAGAAACCACCTTCTTGACTGTTGGACCAACTATTGGCCTCGTCCACTCAATCTGCCAGAGCCTGTCTTCTCATATAAGGGAAGTCACTAACTCCCTGAGGGTTTGAGACCTATCTGCTGCCCTTACCTAGTTTAGCCGGCCAGTCAAAGCTGTTCCTAGGGTGTGGCCGCTGTTGCATGCTGACACCTTCTAGGAGCCACAGGCGAGAGCTGAATGTGTGTGGGGGGGTGAATTAACTACCCCAGAAGAAGTGTGATTTGTCCACCCACTGAGATCCAATGTGAGCTCCGGGTACTGGGACTGCCTGGCCGGCTGGCAAGGGGGCATCACACTCTCCTCCCCGGTCAGGAAACGGATATAAGCCTGCCTGCAAGACTGGCCAATGGCAGGCAGGTTTGGAGGCAGGATCTCCCCGACAGAGCACGAAGGCTTCCCTCAGATCCACTCCCAGAATATTTAAACTGGCCTGCCTTAACACTGGCACCTGGCCTTTTCCTCATCGGATCTCCCACCCACGCCTCCTGTTGTGCTGTGTTTTGTGTATTTCTGACTTTGCTATGGTCACCGTATTCAAGTCCGGGCAGGAATTTGTCCACCAGTCAAATTGGCCCCAGTTTGGTGGTTTTGCCTACCTCGCAGCATGGTCCATTCCGCCAAGGCCATCCCTGGGTGGATTTGAACCACCAGCCTTCTGGTTAACTGCCAGACACACTGACCCGTTGTGCCAGAGTCTTAAACTATGACACCTGCTAATATGGGCCACATAAATCATTTAGATTAGCTTCAACAAGTCACATTGTTGCCTGGGGTCCCACAACTAAAGGACATAATATTGGTTAGTTACCAAGAATGCCCCAACCTACTCATTTTTCTTTCTATTTTGAGTTACATACACCCCCGTAGGGAAGAAAACTCTTAAAATAGCTCATCTGGGCGGCAACTTGAGAACCCAATGGAGGCAATGTGGGTCTTTTTCACTGCCATTGTTGTTACTGATAGATGCAGTTGTACTTTCTAAACACTAAACAGGTGGTGTTGTGTGTCTTCCACTCTAGCTGTTATCTTGTCTGCTTTGTTGCTGAGAGGTCTGAGGACAATCAAGGAGCTCTGCAGTGTCATAACATGCACTCTGTGGGGATTGTGTTACTTACCCTTCCCCATCTTGACATTCAGAATGAGGTGAGGGCTTCAAGAAAATCACTAACTTCAGCTACTGGAAAATTCCCCAGAACACTCAGAAATCTATCAGGTTCCATAAGTCTCCCAAGGGAAGACCGTCTGAATTGGTTCCCCACCTCTACTGTCTGTGTGTATGTTGAGAGAACTGGTGCTGCGAGCCCAAACACTGCAGCTTGTGGTCTGACCATGAAAAAGGGATCAATTCCATTCCTCCAATAACCACCACTCAACACTCACCCTGAAATGAGAGACTAAATCTGTTGTGTGTCCTGCCCTTTGTGTTGCTCCATTGACAACTTGGGGCAACCCCATGGTTGTCATGGAGGTCATAAAGTCTCAATTCAGGTCAGACAATCCAACCTTAGCATGAATGTTGAAGTCACCCAGAACCACCATCCTGGGGTTCTCCAACACCAGACTGGAGACACTACCTCTGCCAACTTAGAAGGGGAGCCACTGAGCAACTGTGGGCTTTAAACCAACAGCATCTGCAGTCTGTCCTGCTGACCCAACAACTGTATTAACCCAAGCAGAGGGAAACTGTTACAGTGTTTATTGACCTGAAAGGGACTTTTCATGCTCTTTCAAGGAAGATTGTTTCTTATATGTGATTTGTATATTCAAACAAATCTTCAAGGTGACCGCAGTATTCTTCACGGTCAAACTACTGTCCCTGTTACTATATGGTATCTCTATAGATTGAGATGTCTAATTCTGCACCAGGCATTTTTCTTGCATTATATTCTGGGGGTACCTAACTGTGTAAGATATGCAAACATGTGTCTGGAAATTGGTGTAGTATTTGTGGGAACCAGTGTAGGTCCAAATACTAAAATATGTGTTACGTCTTCATTTTTCTTCATTAATATCTATGCTATATCTAACAGATTAATATTTTAGAAAACGGTCCTATATAATTTTATATAAAAATACTTTAACGGCTGTTTTGTCTGAATCACTTCTAATGCTAGAGCAACAATAAACTTTCAGGGTTCTGACCCAACATTTATATGATATTGAAAGACAAGATCTATACTCTCTGGCTAATAGAACTTGTTCCCCTATAGTTATGCTACTTCAGCTTATGCTATTTCTGTAAAGAATATACAGGCTCATAAGAGCATTCATACCTGCAGTAATCAAAATGTTTTGACAATAGCCATACTCCAGGGCAGTTTTGTTTGTTTGTCAGGGCATCAAGATAAAAGATTGGTAATGCCTTGTTTATCAGATCAAGTTTCATATATCACAGACCAGTTAGCTATTTTTCTTCCTAATTTCCATGCACGTAAGAGATCAACTGATTGCCTGTATTAGTTTAATTAGAGAAATTGTATCTTTTGTGTCCTGTTACTCTTATTCTGTGTTTTAACCTAAACAGGTCTTATGGCCATAATGAAGTGTTCATTGTAATCCCTTGGTATAAACAAAATGTAGAAGAGCTATCTTGTACACAGGATTTCCAACCAGTCAAACAGCACTATAATTAAAGTTCTTCAATGAGTGAGGCAGGTATCTATATACTGCACTTCAAATTTTGATTTATACTCAATTTTAATCAGATTGTTACTTTTTCATAGGCTCTCATTTACCCAAAACTGAGTCAGTTTGCTTATACTTTGGTTAACAAACCAACCACTGCTTCAATACAGATTTATTGAAAAAACACACACCAAAATTTCTATTTTTAAATACAATGAATAAAATGAAACATTGCTGGACTTTGTACTCCACTGCGTTAATTGTTGTGCACTTCTATTTCCCCCCTTCCGTGTCATCCGTGGTACCTTCTACAGCACCTTCAGAAACCACTGTCTCCTCTGGATTAACTTTTGGATGAAGCTTTTCATACAGCTGTACCTGAAAATGTAATGGTCATAAAGTCACATGTATAAGAAAAAACCTAGTTTTCTCTTTATAACCATAGTCCAGTGCAGAGTCAACTACACTTAAGACCACTAATTTCAATGGTCTTAAGTGTAAAATCTGAGGCCAACGTGTATAACCTTGCTTGACTCCACTCCAGTAAATGGTGTGTGTATGTTAAAATAAGACTTCTTAGATTACACTCTAGATTAGATCTTGCACATTCAAAAGCATTGTGTAGGCAAAAACTACATACAGCTCTTGTGTGTGTACATTTGGCACCTGCTGTTAGATCCTATCTACTCATGCCATGAAGTAGAGCAAGGGAGTACATATTAAAGGGTGATGAGCAAACAGGAATATATTTTGATGGAGCTGGTACTTCACATGAGGATTTTTTTTGGCAGAGGCCAATATGTTTCATGCTTCTACTATAAGCATGCTTCACAAAATGTCTGAGATTAAGTTCTGAAAACAAACAGGATATCTAGATGGGTGGACACTATCTGCCTATGAAATACATATGAGAAAGACTTACAAAAGCATACTTACCCACTTAGATTTCCAAAACACAAAGTTGCCTATAAAGTCTTCTTTGCCAAAGAGAAGTCTGCTTTCCACGGTTTGCTGAAATCCTCCTAGAAGATAGTTGGATTAACAACATGATCTCACACAAGGCAATTCAGTTCCAGCACAGATATGACCCACTCATGCTCACTCCCCTCTGGAGAGAATGGAATTTAGATGGAAAGATGGAATTTAGAAATTGCTCTATAGCTACTCAGCAATCTTATGTCATGTGAGGCAAAGAAGATTATTTCCAAAGCTATCTCCTTGCCATATGTCAGATATGATAAACTTGTTTCCAAGTAAAGGACTCCTGGATGGTTAAGTCCAATCAAAGGAGGCTATGGGGCACAGCGCTCATCTCGCTTTTCAGGCTGAGGAAGCTGGCGTTTGTCCACAGCTTTCCGGGTCATGTGGCCAGCATGACTAAACCACTTCTGGCGCAATGGGACACTGTGACAGAAGCCAGAGCGCACAGGAACGCAATTTACCTACCCACCACAGCGTACCTATTTATTTACTTGCACTACCTATTTATTTACAACTACTAGGTTTCCAGGACTAACATGCTAGAACAGTGTTGCTCAAAGAGTGAGCTGGAACCAACCAGGGGGCCTGGAACTACTTTCAGGTGGGCTTCAGCCTGCCCACTGAGTCCTTACTCCCTTGCCCTACCTTGCCCCATTATTCTTTCTACTATGTCATACTAGTAACATTGACTCAGCTATACAGCTGCAAATAAAACGCTTTAAGTGCAATATATAATATGACACAAAATGGCGATGGTGAGCTTTATGGGAAATTCATTGTTTGTTTTTCCTTTCTTCCTAGTTTTATTTTCCCCCATACCATATTTGTGTACCTCATGGAAGTTGCTCACCTCCGAGGCCTTAGAACCCAGCTTTGAAAATCTGCTTTTAACTTAGCAATTCTAAAGGAGTTTGAGATAGAAACAGAAGCAGTTCATCTGTTGACTTCTGAGGTGAACATTCAGGTGTGTCTTTTATGTTTCCTCAATTTCTTATTGAGAATTATTGTGGTTTGTCACTGTGCTGCATCTTGCGATGCTCCCTCACAACAAAGTATATCTTAAGAAATCTGCTTAGTCCTTTGTGCAGTGGTACTTCGGGTTAAGAACTTAATTCATTCTCGAGGTCTGTTCTTAACCTGAAACTGTTCTTAACCTGAGGTACCAGGTTTAGCTAATGGGGCCTCCCACTGCCGCCGCGCCGCCAGAGCACGATTTCTGTTCTCATCCTGAAGCAAAGTTCTTAACCCGAGGTACTATTTCTGGGTTAGCGGAGTCTGTAACCTGGAGCGTCTGTAACCTGAAGCGTCTGTAACCCGAGGTACTACTGTATTGGAGCTAGAGGGAGGAGCTGCTCCCCCTTCCCCTGGGTAAAGAATGGTAAGAAACAACATTCCATTTTATTGGATCACCATGCCTCTTTTTTGGCCTAAATGATGTCAAAGCACAAATGATGGCATTAGTAGAGGAAGGGTCATAGAAGCTTCCATAATGGTGAGGAGGTGGTGTTTGACATCAGATCTACCTCTCCAAGATGAGAGCTCTTTCTCCAGAAAGGGACATACAGTACACTCCCAGGAACGAAATCATCTATTCAAATATGATCTCCATTCCAATGGGTAACTTCTTAACAGTCCTGTTTTCAAAATAATCAAAATATTTTGACTACACTTGGGTCAGGATAAATTTTGAACACGTTATCATAGATGCAGCTCCCTGAATACTACTTTACATGCATGTTTTGCTTCATTAAAGATATATAGCAATACAAATTCAAATGAGCTTCAGACTGCGGATTTCTATGCTTTAATCAAAGCTTAATCAAAACTAGAAAAAATATTACCTGTCATTGCACTTACGATGGCTCCCACAATGAATGTGATCAAAGTTCCTAATGTGCTAAAGTACAGATAGGACAGCGAGTACCAATACTCCTGAAGAAAAGTTCTGAAAAGGGGAAAAAACATTTCCTTCCAAAATTATGCTGTATTGATATCCAAAAATTAGCTTAAGCATACTGTAATTTAAAGTGACAAAGGCTGCAATCCTATATACACTTACTGGAGAGTAAGCCCCACTGAACTCAGTAGGACTTATTTCTGCACAGACATATATAGGATTGAACAGTCAGCATGTAGTCTTAAAGAGATAGTACAGATACTGGCACAACACTTTAATTTTCTGTTCTATGGGTAAGTAACAAACACACCTTTGAGTGGAAGCCAAGGATATAAATTTAATAAATAATAACTAAAATAAATAAATAACCCAAACTTGGCATCATCTAATGAAACTGATTAGCAAAAGCCTCCAGACAGACAAAAAAAACCCTCAAGTAAATTTGGTTAAACTCTAGTTATTTTGAAGATAATCTTAAAGCATTAATATGCCAGTGGACAAAGGGACATTATTCCAGCAAATAAGCCCTCATTGTTTAATTAGAATGTAGTCCCACATTCAGTGTATCATTTCATTTCACATTTAATGCCTATGCCATGCTTTTGCTTTCCCAAAGGAAGTCCTAAGAGGCCCACAAGAGCTTGATAAAACACTCTGTGTAAAAAACATCATTCAACCATATCGAACATCATTCAACCATATCTAACATATAATTGAAGTCTTATGCATACCTTTGAGCAGGTGTAGTATGCACAGTAGTAGTTAATGGCGTGGTGAGAGTAACATTGTATTTCCGACAGCCTGCTGTTGAAAGGGGTAACGGCAATGTTTTGTCACGAGAGGGAGGGTATTTGATAGCCCCAAGTCCAACCCATAATGTAACAATAAATCCACACAGGAGACCTGAAAATGCACCCTGAGAAGTAGAAAATTACACACAATGTAAACTCAGCATGAACAATAGGGACAAATCCTTTCAAAAAAGGTTCTGACTCTAATGTTTAAAATCACCTAATCAAATACAGGATTCCTGGAGGCTAGTGTTTGGGCACCTGTTTTTTAAACTCATTCTGCTACAGTCACTTAGGATATAAAGAATTTTGTTATTTCTTTGTCATGAGTGTAACACATATGTAGCCAGACTATGTAAGGGTAGTTGAAATAAGACGTTAACTCTATTTCCTCTTTCAAATGCTTCATTTCATTCTTCATCTCAATATCTCCATCAGCATTTTGATCAGGGGGATGACAGCATTCGTTCCACTTTTTTTTATTCTGGGGTGGTTAAGACATCACCTCAAACCATTATTCATGAAGTCAGGAATCTAGGCTTACAGACTTTCTCTTCCCTAGTGTGCAACCGTTTCCTGTCTCCTATCCTCATTAATGCCAAACCATACCTTTCTGGATAAGACAAAATGGCAAGCAATGGTTTGTCTCAAAGTAGGGTAGGCAGCAAGGAATCATTACAAACAAGAAGACAAGACAAGAAGACAAGAGGAGGAGAGTGAATGAGCACTGGGCTCCTGAATGCCTGTTGACAGAATGCAAAACCATAGCTTTGCATTATGTGTGAACAAATCATGTGTGCGTGTAAAGTTACTAAATAATGAAAGCACTATAAATACTCTGTGGACTGCTAAAATATTAAAGTATAAAATGAGCTCTCTTATACCATTGCATATTAAGAAGCAGAAGACAAAAGAATTACTTACTGTAGGATTTGCAAAAGGTAAAAGGATGCCCATAGAAAATATTCCCAAAAGAGGTCCACCAAGTATTCCAAAAATACTGAGCGCAGCCTGAAGGATGGAACAAAATCAAGGTGGTTAGTAAATACAGGGACTAGCAAAAACAAAAAGTAAATTAGCAAAAAGTATAAGTTCTGTTTTTCTTTCACCCTGCTTTGAAGTTCATTTGACTATGGAAGGGCTTTTTAGGAGAGGCCCTTCAAAAAGATACAGCTCCAAGAAACCTGCCATTTCAGGTGATGGCGAAGCTTGACACATCAGCAGCGACACTCCTCCCCCCCCCCCTTTTCTCACTGTTTTAAAACCAGCAGCTCTGCTGACAGTTTTGGCAGTGCAGGTGCTTAGCTCAGGCCACTGCCCCTCTTCCTTCCTCTGAGAGTCAGAACGCAACCCCTTAGCCACTGAACTTGCCAGCAGAGCACTTAATGAGGAATATAGAATATATAATTAGATTCACATAATCTAAGCAAATTCTTCTAAAAACTAGAAGTCTAAGAATAACCGTTAAATGCTTACCTGTAACAAACCACCCATCTTGGATGCTACGCCAGCCATGGCAAGGCACACTGCACCAAAAAGCAGGTCTAAATGAATAAATTTATGCAAAGTTTATATGGTTTATTCATATATGTAACAGACTGGTTTAATTATATGATTATCATGCATAAAAATGGAAATCCTATGTTATCATGGATTATAATAATTTACTGTACATTGGGTATGGCTAACTTGCAGCCTAATTATGGCCCAGCATTTTGGCTGCTGTATTGGCAATTTTAGGTGGTCTCCTTTTTTCTGAGCATCAGGTGGCCCTGTGCAGCCCCATAGCTGCAGTGGAAATACAACAGGTAGTGATCATACATTTTCCACAGGCATCGCATGAAGCTGTAGGCAGCACAGGCACCAACAGAGAGTATAGGGCAAACAAGTAGATGGGCTGGGACAAAGCTCTACCACATTTCACAGCAGAAACAATGACATAATCTCTTGGGGCCTATCCTCTGCATGCCAAATAAATAAGCTTTTATCAGAGAGAAACCACTGTGTAACCTAAGCAGAGAAAGAGGTAGGTTACATTAGCATGTCAGCTGCCACTTCTATTTTGAAAAGTTATAAAGTCCTTTTCCTTTGGTCAACTTTTGGAGCCCACAACCACCAGAATTCTTCATAAGGCTAAATGTTCTGCAAATCAGAGGGACAGGTTGGTCTGGTACTAAAGCAATAATGTCTGCATCGGTTGAAATTGCATTTCTGCTGTGTAGTCTGAGAAATTGCATTTCTGCTGTGTGGCCCTCCGAATGTTGTGGGACTATAGCTCTCATCATCCCTAATTACTGGTCATGTTTTCTGGGACTGATGGGAGTTGGAGTTAAACAACATCTGAAGGGCCATAGGCCACTTATCTCTGCTCTAAACAATCACTGTGCAAAACTGTATGTAAACAAGCCTACAAAGAGCAGATGGAAGACACAGACCCATTTCACTTGTCACATTGAACTATAGATTTACAAAACTATGGTTTAACATGCAGCATGCTGGCACACACTAAGTTCTTGCTCCACTCTGTTCCTCCACTGGTCCTGTCATGGTGTTGGTAAATAAGGCAAAATCTGCCCTGACATGATGTCCAAACCAGAAACAAAGGGTGGCTTATTCCACATAGCTGTCCAGTGAGTTTCCTTTATTACACATTTGAAGTCATTTTTCCATTTGGATTTTAGTGTTTTATTCTATATACAAGGCATAATCCTATATAGCAATGAGACAGCTGCATTTATTATGTCTAAGCCTCACTCAGATTTTTTAATGTATCTTAACTTCTACAGTTAATGAGAAAAAATGGGATTTTTTATTTAAAAACATAAAATATCACATACAAACTTACTCATTCCTATGGAAATCCATGACATGCTTGTGTCAGACATCTTAAAATGAGGTCTAATGAGGTCTTCAATTGTTACAGCAGCTAATGCATTGATGCTGGATGACACTGTACTAAAGAATATAAAATTAAAATTTTCTGAGGTTTGCATTTGTGTTGCGGTTGCACAAATATTTTAAAACTGATATAATTTTGGGAGCAGGGATGGGGAGGAACAAAACTTGAGCTACGACAGAAACATTGTCCCAATACAATTCACAAAGTGGTAATGGCTTTTCATCGTATTCTCAGTCTGTCATCTGTATTTATGAAAGCTTGATGAGAGCTTTTCCTGCCACTGAGCCCGATGTGTGCTAAAAGTGGTAAGACTTTCCTACATTAACCACTTGGTGAGCTGGTCATTTGCAGTAACAATTCATGACAAGGTACTCGTGCCAAGTCACAGAGCTAATATACCCAAAAGCACCACAGTGCCAGTGAGGCTGTGATGAGGCAACTAAGTCCGCTCACCCGCCTTGGTGCGGCGGCGTTGCGGGATGGCAGAGGCTCCACAAAGGAACTGGAACAGCGGTGCCCTTTCCGGTAGGCGGTGGGAGCTTAAGTTCTTAACTATTGGGTTCTTAACCAGAGGTACCACTATACATATGATTGAGAGTCACACTGCATGTTATATCATGATACTATCCATTTTTGCCATCCAATGAAGCTGAATGTTGACCGATTCAGGACAGACAAAAGTGAAACTATGAAATTCACTACCACCTGATGGAGCGAAGGCCACCAACTTGGATGACTTTAACAGGGGACCGGACTAACGGAGGATATGACTGTTTATGGCTACTGACCTCAACAGCTACATTCTACTTCCACCATTGGAGGTGGTGCTGGAAACCACAGGAGGGGCAAGTGCTGTTGCGCTCAGGTCCTGCCTGCATGTTTCCCATTAGATATGTGGCTGGCTACTTTAAGTCAGGATGCCGGACTAGAGGGATCTTTGGCTCATCTTGCATTAATGAACGTTTTCCTGTTTTAACTTTAAACAGCAACTGTGAGGAAGGTCAATCAGCTTTCCTCCAGTGCCAAATAGCAGATTTTAATCAGGTCTGCAGTATAGAGGGAAAGGGTTAAACTCACTTCCTGCGGTTCCACTTGAGCTCCCTTCAAAACTGCTATTGAATATTTTTTTTAAAATGCAATATCAACTGTGTGTTCAGCATAATGCTTAGTTTGGCCCGAGAGACATTGATTTATCGTTTTAAAAATTGGCTGAAAGTCGCCAGTAACTTTCTAGAATCTAGACCTAGGGTCACTTAAAAATGACCTGGATGTCCCACTGAAACTCACCTTAATGTCCCACTGTAAGTCCCAGCCACAAAAAGTCCTGGAACTCCTGGATAGTCACCCAAAATCTCCAACACGAAATACGGCATGAGCTAAAAAAAATTCACCATTGAGAAATAGTAAACTTTTTTGATTTGAAGTTTAGAAACTCAATCATGGTTTGAAATAAAAATCTATCTTGAAATTATTTAGGTTTGTGCATGTGCTTGTAACACTGAACACACACACACACACACACACACACACACACATATTCCATTGATTATTAAACATAGCACACTAGGTTGGGAAAAGTACCCTTTGTTTGCTGAGAACGATTTGTTACTCCAGCTAAGTTCCATGTAAACCCTTTGAGAAAGGTGGTAGCTTCAGGGCAAAATGTACACTGGCTACCAAACACAGAGGACACCTTGGCATTTTGGGTGCTTCCTACTCAAACACTACTGTGGCTGAGATTCACAGGGTGTGGCACTATGTGCTTACATTCTGAGCATATTCTTTGCCATAACATGGAAGACTGACGCACAGCTGGAGTGGCCCAGGCATTGAAAAAGCTTGGTGGGGCTGGCATACAGACCACTTGAAAGGCTTCCTAGTTTTCTCCGTGGGCTTAGAAACCCATTTTTAAAGGGGTGTGATCACTTGCAGCTGAAAGAAGCGAGGGAGGCAAGACCACAGGGTGAATTCAAAGCACTAAAGATAAAGAAGGGACCAGAGGAGTTGTGGAGAGCATGTAGAAGGCGAGGAAGGAGGGAGAACACAGGTGAACTGGGAGGAAAAGTACAAGGAGAAACAGGTATGAGCTCAAAGCAGAGTAATAAGGAGAAGCGAGAGACATATTTGAACTGGAGGAAGAGGCTGCAGAGGGGAAAGTTACAGGAAAAAATCTGATCACATATCCCTGCTTTGGACAAATAGGAGAGACCAGGTCCATGAGTAGATGCCTCGCAAGCCAAATAGGCAAGTAATTGTACTGAACCAACCTGGCTGCATAAACATATATTATTTCTTCCTACAGAAGATGCCTATTTGAAATTCCCACTTTGTTTGGGAATGAGAGGGTTCCTTGCTTCATGATTTTATTATATCTGTCTATTATTTCAAGTAAAGTGGCAGTTTTCCTTGTCCCTGACAATCATAACTTGCTGATTATGTTATCTTTCCAAAAGGCCTTCTTAAAACTTAGTTACATGGAAGATAAATATGAGTCTGATCTATTCTGTGTGTAACTGTATCACTTGACAGTAATACTAAACCTGATCTGGTGCTGCCACAAAGCCTGAAGTCCATGGATCACAATCCTTGTATATGGAGTACATTGAGAGTCCACTGAATACTGCAGAACTAAGAGTTAGACAAAGTCCCATAAGATTTAAATAAAGAGAGCTGTAAGAAAATGTCAGAAAAGTAGGTTAAAGAAGCATTGTTCTTGCGCAAATTATATGAAAACAGAGATTCACTGGGGTGCGTTCCAACTCTATGATACTATGAACACAGCTGCAAATACATCATGCCTAAGGTACAAGGTAACCCCTACAAATTAATGCAAAGTGCTTTTAATTAATTACAGCGCACACCACCAAATGTTTGGACAACTTTGCTGTCCAGTAGGACTACCTTTGAAATTCTCTTCCTGATTTAGAAGATATTTCATGGATTGGCAAGACTACAGTTTATTGCTAAACCAAACCCTGATATCTAATTTCACTTTATCATTTTGCAAAGTAGAAACTTACATAACTTCAAGAGGATTTTAGCAAATATGCAACTTAGTGCGCCTTAATAGATTCAGCAAAGCAGATTCAGCAAAATGACAAAGTACTCAATAATCACTTTCCATAACTGGAAACCAGCTTCTGTTTGCAAATCAGTAAGAGCTGATCAAGAGTGGAACAGATTCCCACAAGAGGTGGTGGACTCTCCTTCCTTGGAGATTTTTAAGCAGAGGTTGGGTAAGTATCTGTCATGGATGCTTTAGCTAGGATTCCTGCATTGCAGGGGGTTGAACTAGATTGGCCCTTGGATCTCGTCCAACTCTAAGGTTCTATGATCACATTTCTGGGTGAAGTCCATGCAAAAAAAAAGATGTTGCATGGGAAATAAATCACATATCCAGCACCCATAAGTTGAAACACAGATCAAACAATCCTCACAGAAGCACATGAGTAATCCGCTAGTGCACCTGAGAATATTTGGACTGAAAGAATGGATTTACAATATGTAGTCTTACAGTTTTGCATGAAGTCTTGATTTGCAAGCAAGGTACCGTTGAACCTGAGACTGATTTACTCCATATATGCCAAGCCAAGTGAAACTGCCGCCAATGGTAACTGTCCACACAGTATGCCTTTGCAGAGGGCTTAGGTTAAAGCTAAGAGGAAAAAAGGCATATAAAAGTAATGTGCAAATTCTGACATGGAAAAAAAAAATGAAGAATTCAGTGGAGAAAAGGGGGAATGTTAGAACTTTGAATGAAATTCCTCTACTTGATAGCCTGTGCTCTACTGATTTCAGAGCTCTGACATCAATATAGCCAGAAGGGGGTGGGTTTGCTGTGGGAGGGCCATAGCCTTCCCAGTCCATTGACATGATTGCAAACAAGGAGAGATTTATGCCAATCCAGGAGCTGGCATAAATCAATTCCTTTTATTTTCCTGCCATTAGGAACAATGGGAAGGATACAGGTCCCCCCCCCCAAAGTGGAAATAGGATAGAAGATTCCAAATATGCACCTCCACCCTCACTCCTGCTCTATCAGAAAGAGCAGGAGCATGAGGCAGGATGAAAGGTCTTCAGTTCCCCCATCACCAATCCAATAGGACTGAAGTCTTAAGCAAGTATGCATTTCACATTTATAAGCTTTACCATTAATTTGCTGTTCTAATACCACTCAGAGATCGATATTTTATCAAGGGAGTTACTTTCTCTTGAGTTGTCCACCCACTGAAATGTAAATTCCCAAACTTTTCAAAACCTTTAAGAATGTCCTGGGTAGCATACTAAGGAAACACTTACTCCCAGAGTCTTAGTCTTCCTCCATGACGAGCATCATCCATAATAGCAGTAAATCCTCCTTTAATTACTAAAGTTCGAAAAATCACGGCTAGAAACCCACTTATCATCAGTATAAACTGGAAAACATCCGTCCAAACCACTGCTTTTAGGCCACCCTATACAAGAAAAGCAGATGTAGTATATGTTAAAAAAAAGTCAGTTCTGTCTGTATAGATATATGCACATATATTTGCGCATAGAAGTTCTATCATGCTGCATTATGTTACTGTTACAGTGGTACCTCTAGTTACGAACTTAATTCCTTCCGGAGGTCCGTTCTTAACCTGAAACTGTTCTTAACTAGAGGTGTGCTTTCGCTAATGGGGCCTCTTGCCGCTGCTGCGCCGCCAGCACACAATTTCCATTCTCATCCTGGAGCAAAGTTCTCAACTCGAGGTAACTCTTCAAGGTTAGCGGCATTTGTAACCTGGAGCGTTTGTAGCCTGAGGTGTTTGTAACTCAAGGTACCACTGTATTTATTGTTTGTAAGCCGCTTTGGGATTCATTTGAATACAATCAATCAATATACAAACATCTCGGGTGTCCTTGCTCAATAAATCTTAATTGTTCTCTTTTAAAGTTGTTAAGCTTAAGCATGTTTAAAGAGAGCCAGTGTGGTGTAGTGGTTAAGAGCGGTAGTCTCGTAATCTGGGGAACCGAGTTCGCGTCTCCGCTCCTCCACATGCAGCTGCTGGGTGACCTTGGGCCAGTCACACTTCTCTGAAGTCTCTCAGCCCCACTCACCTCACAGAGTGTTTGTTGTGGGGGAGGAAGGGAAAGGAGATTGTTGGCCACTTTGAGACTCCTTTGGGTAGTGATAAAGTGGGATATCAAATCCAAACTCTTCTTAAATGTTTAAGCTTAAGCTTAAACATTTATTTGCCCTCAGAAAAGGAAGTTTTAAGAAGTGCTGAACTTTGCTTGTATTTCAGCTGAAAATCAAACAATCTCAGCCATTGGCTGAGATTCAATTTGAAAAGAATATGAAAAGAAACATATTCTAAATTATATGTAAGATTCCTTTCTGACAGCATAGAACTAATATAGGATGGGAGGGCAAGATAAATTTTCCATCTTAACTCTAAAGCACTGAAAAATGATCCCTTTTTTACCCAGTTACACAATGCGTTTCTTAACTTTTTAAACCAGATCCAGGAACTATATTTCCTTCTCTTTCCTTCAGTTTAATCTGGGAAATGGAATATTTGTACACAGGATTCTTACAGACAGGTGTTTATTGTGGGATCCTCGTGTATGGAAGTTTCCTAAAGCATCCACAGAACATTGTTGGCATCAAAATGTCAGTCTGTATTCCTCCCTCATTTAATCCAGATTTACCCCTTCCATGGAAAATTTTTGAAGTTAAAAAACAACAACCCAACCCTGTCGCCAACAACCCACTTGCAATATTAAGCATCCTTCTAGAAACATCCAGAGATTCACATATTAGACATCTATGTAACTGATGCCATGATATACCCACACTACATTGCTGTGACAGGGAGCTAGAGATGTTGAACAGAAAATTCACAGCATCTCACCAAACAAAGCTTTTAAGCAGTTTTTTTCTGGAAAACATGAACTTTACAATATTATAAAACCAGTACTGTATGTGTTAGTAGCATAGCTTTGTAGATAAGCCCACAACACTTACTAGCCTCCAACGTTATTTTACTAGCCTGCTAAGAAAATTTAGTCTCATAATGTGGTGTAAAGGCACATGAAGCCACAACCTTGCTGAAAATTTGGACCTGGTCAACACTTGGATGGGGGAGACCTCCTGGAAATCACTTGTATTCTCTTATCTCAGTGACCAGCACTGACAAGAAGGTAAAAAATGTCTCTTCTAGCAAGAATACTGGTAGAAGGGGGGTGGAGCAAATCCCTGCAAGGAATTCATTGTTCCCAAGGCCTCTAGGCAAGGTTGAATGCAAGGCTGATATAACATAAATACATAGATCATGAAAAATAGAATCCTATAACAAATCTGAAAGTAAAAGTTGGGATCGATTTGTTTATTTATAAAGGTTACTTTATAAATCCAGGAACCACAATGTTTATTAAAGTGAACTGTTCACATACCAGAGTGCAATAGAAAGTGCAGACTATTCCTGTTGAAATAACAGACCCCCACAACTGAAATCCTGTAACTGAAAGGGAGGGGAAACACATAAATATTCTTTGAAACATTTCTAGGGATATGTGGTAAAACATTGTTTATTTATTTATTTATTAATGCAAAGAAGACAAAACAATGAGTGCACATACAAATCTTCATGACATTTATGAATTTACAGTTTGCTATAAACAAGAAATGTAAATACTACTTGGATGGTGAGTAGCAAGCATACTTGAACTGTGGAAGAACATACCTGCCATACCTTAAGATCATCATTAGGAGGCCCTTCTCCAGGTTTCCCCTAAATAGGTGATGCAGGTGACCATAAGGGAAAAGTCCTACTAGGTGATGACATTCAGTCTAGTGCTTGTAGTTGGCCAGGCCAGGTATTGTGTCGGGGGTCCTAATAGCTCAGAAGGATCTCTTACTGGCAGCTGTGATGCTTTTTCTGCTCTCCTCACCAGGACCTCAAGCAGCACTTTAGCAGAGGGAGAGCGGCTGTGCCACTTTTTAGTAGGAGTCAAATTTGACTCTCACTTGCAGTGTCTGCCTGCCACTATGCCCTGCTCCATCTCTTGTCTTTCCTTGGCGGGAAAAGTGTGACTGCATTGGGGGGTCGCTTCAAATCTGGGTCTCCTCAAATCTGACCCTGGTGGGATTATAGAATGCCCTCATCAGTGAGACTCTCCTTAATTCTTCTCCCTTCTCTCACATTACAAAAGGACTAAAAGCTGCAATCCTGTACACACTGACCTGGAAGTAAACCCCACTGAATAGTGGGACCCAGAGCCAGGAGACCCACGGGACCTCACAGAGCCTCCAACCCCAACCCTACTATCCAGGGAGATATCTCACCAGGCCTGCCTCCAAGGAATGCCCTGGAAAGACCCTTGGAGTTTGTCTCCAGCAGCAGAGGGACCAGAGGGGGTCTCACACTCAAAAGCATCTGTGCCATGGAGTTCAGGCTGAGGTAGTTTTGGGAGTTAAGGTCTGCTACTTGCTGAAACAACATATGCCTTTCAGCTCATTACTCCTGCAACCTGAGTTCTGGCTGATCTTTTAGTGGATGACCTCTGCCTCACAGCTGTGCTTTTGGATTATGTTTGACTCAGGACTCCACCTTTGTGCTTGACCCCTGCTTCACTTTGACTTTGCTTAATGCTATTGTGCTTCGGGCCTGAGTCTGCAATGTGACCTGTTGTGTAGTCTTGTTCCAGACAACCTCAGGGCCTGAGACCTAACCCAGCTGCAGTAGGATAATGCCTCTGCAAATGATTAAAAGAATTTCATGAACAGCCAAACTATAAGAGTTATTATTTCAACTACCGCATATATTTGAAATATTACATAAGGTGCATTGATTTCATTGTCTTATTATTCACATGCTACAGGGTAAGCAAAATTTGACTCAAGCATTCCACAAAGGTACTGGAGATTTCACACAAGTGAACCACCTAAGTCAACATTAGTTTTTTGTCCTTTGCTAATGGTTTTAAACGATGTGTTCACATTACCTTGACTCAAAGCCAGGGATGGAGAATATATAACAATTCCAGTGTATAATATCTGAGGAGATGAAATAAACACACATGTTAGATGTTCTTTCTCAGAATTATTTGTTCTACACCAGGGATGCCCTCCCTGCAAGGAGCAAGCACAAAAGCATCAAGTCCTATTCAACAGCCCACATAGTGCTTAGGCAAAGAGGGGAGGGGAGTTGAAGAACATAACCAATCATAGAACACAAACAACAACATATACATACCATACATACTAACATTACTATTGTGGCTGAAACACTACCACCTCACAGTCCTTTGAGAAAAAGCACCAGTTTGATTTAAGTACCATGAAACAAACTGAGCAACGTAAGAAGTATGTAAAAACAACAACCTGATATTTCAAAACAATTGTCAGTATACTGTGAAAAGTACATAATGATTACACGTTTTAAGTGAGCATTTTGCCAACAAAAACTCCGGTATCACTGAAATAAGCGTGCAAACAAAATGAGCGAGTCCAGTTCTTAGTCGCATTTGTTCATGCAACGCAAGACACTTTTGGCTCACACAGACTTTTGCTCCGTCTCTGTACTATTTATTTATGTATTATATTTATAGGTAACCAATGCAGTAAAAAAAACACATAGCAAGAATAACAAAGAAAAATTAGGTGAAATTGCTTACAAAAATGTATATAGTAGGGGAAATTCACACAAAAATGCAGTGCATAGTTAAACTATGGAACTCGCTCCTACAGGAGACAGTGGTGGCCACTAAATTTCAATGACTTTTAAAGACAGCTAGACAAATTCATGGAGAATCAGGCCATCACCTGCCAATATCCACAATGGCTGTGTTCTACCTCCACTCTCATAGGCAGTATGTCTCTGAATACCAGCTGCTATGAAGAGCCGGTAGGCAGAGTGCTATTAAACTGAGGTCCTGCTTGCAGACTTCCCATAGGCATCTGACTGGTCACTGTGAGAAAAGGACTAGATGCCCCATTTGCCTTATCCTGCAGGATCCCCTTATGTTCTTAGTATGGATAATCAATAAAAAATTCTGCTTTACTTACCGTTAAAATCATAAACATCACTGTTCCAAGCAGACGCATTTTTTTATTGTATCGAAGCTCCAAGTACTGCAAAAGAGACAAATTGCTTTTAGATACAAAGCATACAAATTCATATGAATGTAGCTAATATGTAGAAATAGGACTGACACGATTCCTTTTTGGGGGGAGGTTTAAGACTGCAGTTCTATGCAGAGCTGCTCAGGAGTGAGATCTCAGTGAACTCCCTGAAACTTACTTCTGAGTAAATATCTATTTGAACAGACTTCGTCAGTGACGTTCTATGGAAAATTACTGAGAGAGCTTCTCAATAGCTAAACACAGCTCCTGGGAATGGAGGCACTACAGATCAGGGAAAGGGAATGAGAGGAGAGGGTTAAACACCCTCCGTGATCTGCAATAAGTTGCTGTTGTATTTAGAGCCGCACCAGTTCTTTCCCCTCCTTGAGCAAAATGCACTCCTGTTTCCCATCAGCCAATTGGCAGTTGGAAGCACATCTTGCTCTAGTGAAGGAACACCAGGAGCTCATTTTAAGCTCCTGATAGTTCGTTTGATGCCCCACCCTTATGCACCCACCATGCCTGATGTAATATATGACTTAGATGTAGGGGGGGTGGACATGGCTTCCCCAAATGAGGCCTGGAGGGCCAAATTTGTGACTTACAGCGTAAATTAATAACACAGTCTTATTCAGTAAAAGAATAAAAGCTTTACTGAGTTAAAATAAACTTGTTTGCAAATAACAGCATAGCGAACAGAAGATTAAACTAGCTTCAGAGCATACACAGAGTTTCCATTGAGCACAGGCTTCACAGAGCACAGGCTCCACCACACAGACACAGACTCTCTAGGCTCCACACTGAGTCTGCCTGCAAGCAAATACAGTGGTACCTCAGGTTACATACGCTTCAGGTTACAGACTCCGCTAACCCAGAAATATTACCTCGGGTTAAGAACTTTGCTTCAGGATGGGAACAGAAATTGTGCTCCGGCAGCGCAGTGGCAGCAGGAGGCCCCATTAGCTAAAGTGGTGCTTCAGGTTAAGAACAGTTTCAGGTTAAGAACGGACCTCCGGAACGAATTAAGTACTTAACCCGAAGTACCACTGTACAATATTTATACAGAGAATGAGTCATCCTCAAGATGAGTCACAGGAGCCAACTGACGCTTCGCAGGTAAGATTCACCTTCTGTTGTGTGGGCAGGGTGGTTCCTCCCCTTACCTGGCCGATCACCTGGCAACACCTCCCCAGGCAGGATTGGGCGATTGGCTGAGGTAGGCAGAGACCTCCAGGTAGCCAGCCTGGGGAGGGTGAAGCCAGCCCGAACTACCAGGAGTCGCACTGAGATCCGGGGGGCTGCACGCAACCATGCAAAAGGCATTTAATGTGGGGAGCAGTCATTCTGCAGCTTTTCATCATTTCACAACATTTCTAGACTCCTTTACTGCTTCTGCTCTCAAATACCTTTGTCACTTGACAGTTTAATCTAAAGGATGGAGGTTCCCTGCCCCTGTTCTAGTTAAGTGAGTTTCAAAGATGACCCTGGAGTGGCTTCATGGCTAGAGAAAATGACTGCTTTTTATATAAGAAAGTGGTGCCAGAAAAACAACAGATGGAACGGAGGAAAAGAAAGAAATAGCATTTCCATACTACCAACTTCAAGGGTTTAATGCACGTTCCCCATGCTCAGTTCATCATCAGAGGCTCTACTTTGAAGCTGTGACTCCTAGTAGGCAGCTTCCAGGAACAGAGCTCTCTCTGTGAAATACTGTACTTTGTCCATTGAGATTTGCCAGATCCAATTCTGAATTGTTTTAGTTGACTAGTAACTTGCTGGATAGTCTCCTGATTTATTTTTAAAGGCCTTAGGGGTATATTTACTACGGGTATCGTATGTTGTTAGGCTAACCTGGAGGGTTTTATTCATACAGTCCTGGGAGGAGATGCTAAAAGTCTGCTTACCTCATAGGTGCTGATGATATGCAGCCGGTAGTAGACAGGTAGGAACACTTCGGCAGACATCAGCACCATAATGGTATAGGCGAAAACGAAGAGACTAAAAGCGACCCCAAAGCGATAGATCTCAGCTGGGGTCCCCAGCACCGTCACTGCTGACATAAAGCTGGCTGTGAGGGACAATGCAACTGGCCAACAAGTTAGACTGCGGCCAGCCATCAGATAGTCATTCTGAGATTTGTATACTCCCTTGGCGGCAAAGAAAATGCCGATTATTGCAGAGAAGATCAACATGGCTATAAAGACGACATAATCATAGAAACCAAAGCGTTCAGCAAGTACTTCGGGGTCAAGAAGCGGTGGGGGGGAAGGCGTCGCCATCATGGGGCTCAAATGGGAGGCAGCAGAAAGGCAGAGTGGGTTGGAGAAATCAGCATCTGGGCTGTGGATCTCGTTACCGTGGTAACAACGGTGCATTGGGTTCCTTAAAGCCACAAACCTCTTCTAAGCCCAACGGCTGACTGTAATGCCGTCCTGTCTGCCATGCACTAACTTCATGCTTTCCAACAGGGCCTACCTCAGAGTAGCCCCCCAGCACAACCCTAAATCAGACTCAAAATCTAAGCCTAACACTATGGGAAAGGTGGCACTTGTTTGGAGCTCCCTGCACATCAATAACAACAAACAAACCCACCAGAACTTGAATGGAGATGGAATTACTGCAACCCGGATATTTATGGGAAACTTTAGTATGTATTTTAACAAAAAAAACAAAAAAAAACCAGACAGGGTCCCCAAATTGGGGGGGGGGGATTAAGAGAAAGGGGGAAGCTTAAGAAAGTGGGTCACTAGCTAGAGTGATAAAGTAAGCGGAAATGATCAAGCTTCTGGAGAGAGTAAAAGGGACCACACAATTCAAACAGGTAAAAATAAACTTCCTAGAGAGAGACAGGGAAGGAGGCTGCAGGCAAAATGGCTGCCAGTGGTGAAAAGCCATGGGTCAGCAACCTTTGATAAGGAAAAGAGGGGAAACGGAGGGCTAACAATACAGGAAGAAGGTTCTTTAAACACTGTAGAAGCTTTACTAGAAAGTGAATTGTTAGAAGTAGGCCAAGTAGAACACTTCAGAGCAGATGAAAAACGAACAGCAAAAGCTACAGTATCAAAATGGGGATTAAAATTAAAGCAGCAAACAACGGGTATTTCAAAGTAAGTTAGGTTGTAGTGGAACATTTTAAGAAAGCTACAGAAACTAAAACAGCTGCTTCAAAACATATTAGAGTCAGAAGCTTTCTCTAATAGCATCCCCAAATAAGACATTTTGAACTATAGAGTTGAAAGAAATAATCAAGGTAAGACAAAAGCTAGAAAGGGGGCTGTAAGTAGTACGAGCAACTCCTAGCAAAAACAAAGGCCAAGAAACACAGCAAATGTGAGCTTTTTCCAAGAATGATCAGTCAGTTAGAAACCTTGAGAAAGAGAAAAATAAGAGAGGGGAAAGAGCACTGACCATAAAAAAAAAAAGATTTCAAAACGTAAAACTAGGAAAAGTTTTTTTCTTAGGGCAGTGCCTATTAAAAGCAAGTAGGGGAAAAGGGATTGCTCCCCTCATAAACCTGAGCAATCTATTTGTGTTGTAGAGGAGCATGTGGCTGAGGAAAAATTCCATGTAAACAGAGACAATGAAGGTCTTTTATTAAATTTTGCAAAATCTAACCACAACTGAAGGGCAAAATATTAAGCATCCCAGAGAGTTTCAAATGAAGCTCAAATATTCACTTTGAATGAGACGCACATCATATTTGACATAAAGTGTAGCCAAAATTACACAGAGTAAAATATAAAATACAATTATTAATGTTGAAGACAAGGAATATATAAATATAAATAAGATTTGGGAACAGTAGATCTTATTGTGAGATCAGGCAATGAGGAGGAGGACAAACAGAATGAAGGTTATAAAAAGGGATTTTAATGAATAAGGCTTATTTTCTTAAGATGAAGAAGTAGAATTAGACTTCTTTTTAGAAGCATTGAATGCTAATGTTGTAACAGCAAAATATGTAATGGCAGCACTGATAAGAGGAATTGGGGCAGTTTTCACCTGTGCAGGGGGGACATCTGGAGAATATCAAATTGTGTGGATTATGGCAGAAAGGTTGAAAGTACAAGGCAAAGAGGGAAGAAGTAGTTTACCAAGACAGCAGAATGAATGTAATAGGATGCAAAAGAGAAAAGGAGGGGATAGCATACAAAAGACAACAAAATCTGGAGTGTAGCACATTGTGGAAGATGCTACCATAACACTCGGTTATTGAAGCTTACTCCCAAGTAATTGTGCACAAGACTGCAACCTGAAGTAGGTAAGTGAAATGGTCAGGCATATCCACAAGTCAGTTCTCATTGCATATTGAGTTACATTTTAATTTCCAAAATTTGCTTCTCAGTACTTCCACTTTTTTCAGTTACATATTGTCCAATATATTACTTCCTTCAAGATGGTGTGAAGTTCAGGTAGGATTTGTTCAAAGTCCTGGATAGGGTGGGCAAATAAAATGTCTCACAGTAGTAATGACTATTGTGGGGTGGGGGGGTCATTAGTTAAATTTTATTCTCCATTCATAAGCATAAATGTCAAGTAGCTGCCATCTTCAATGAGGAGTCCAATATGATTTTCATATATGAGCACCGTTCACTTTTTCTTTACTATCTGTGAAATCCATTTCAATATGATTGAAAGCTGGATTGTCGGTTCCTTCATCTGTCACAGGGAATGGTTTCCAGTTTAAAACTTTGATTTTCTCATCCTGGAAAAAAAATAGTATTTTACTTTGAGGAGTAAAGCTTTCGTTATAAATATATAATGATTTATGTCCTTCCTATGCTTCCAGGGTGTTTTACAAAAACATAATAAAATGCAGCAACCAAAATAAAATATAATAAATTACACTACGTTAAAATAACAATACGTTTTAAATCTTGAGAAAATAGAAGGATCTTTGTCGTCACCCATTATGGATGAAAGTTGCTGTAAAGCTGCCCTTCCCTTCCCATTGCTTTAGAAACACTGGTACAAATAACATAAAATAGGGTTGCCCTATTTCTAGAAGTTAAATTCAGGACACAAAAGCTGAGCTTTTTTTAGGCAAACAATCTATTTTCCTAAATTCCACCCGGACACTATTTTCACCTGGCATAAAAAGAAATTACTTCTATTCTTCAGGCCAACAGTTGTGAGAAAAGATGACATAATAATAGACTCTTTGCATGAGCTTTAAGATATATGACCGCTAGAGAGAGCTATTTCTCTGTTTTAATTCTGTTGGTGGATTAGACAAGGAAGCCTAGTAGATTTATTTGCAACAAAAAGGATTGCACAAAACTACTGTTAGTGAAACTTGTTTGACAGGTTCTACTTTCCCAAAGGGTTATGTTACAGATCATTCTTTAGCAGCTTTGGTTCCTTATGTAATTCCGATATACCATTTTACACTAAAGCAAGAATATTCTCATAAGAAAGATATTTCTGTACCACACTGCCACAGCTGTTTCTTTAATAATATACATATTTAGACACATGGATTGGCCTAGGAGCATCTCATGTTGCCTGCACCATTGTTAAAACTAACAATGGTTTGAGCCTGATCAGTGTCTTTGATGGAAAAACACTGGAGCCCCATACAACACCTGTTTATGATTACTGTAAATAAATATATTTGAAGAATCTTCAATATTTTTACCAACTAAACTTTTGACAAACTCACTAGATAGGGTATAAATTTCTTTCATGTGGTTTGATATCTCTTCCAAATTTTGTATAATCATGGCAATAAACTCCTTACATAATCTTCTATATGACATACGCATTTTGGTGGTTTTTTGTTTTGATTTATTTTCACCTACACAGGAAAATTATGGCCATATATAAGCTCATCCTTTGTATTTCTTCCTTATATGTTTTTGTAGTGGGCCACATGACAATTTCCTGCATTGCTACTATCTAATGATATACTGTGTACAGGTGTTCACTTCATGGACACATGACAAAGCAAAAATGGCCTTCTCCTGCTTCTCCAGATGTCTAGCAGTACTGTTTGGTTCACTGTGCTGCTGACAACTTGCTCACTACATGATTACAGCTAACACAGAAATATTTTTACAAATATAAACACAGTACGACATGAACTCCACACTTCAAGGTCTTCCCAGGTTTCACAAAGAATATTTCCTGGGAGGGCATCAAGTCTCCCTCTCTGATGGCAGGAAAATATTATCTTGGATCTGATTTTTCAGGACTCCTCCATATGGCTGTGGAAAAAGTCTGTAGCCAGTACAAAAAGAGGTCATCTTGGGGTCATGCCAGGACACTGTGGATCTGCAAGGTCCAATGCCCTTCCATTCCCTTGACAGTGGGGGACAAACTGAGGCAGTTTAATTCCTTCCCATTAATGAATAGAAGCAATAGGAGGGGAAAATGCAGCTTCATGGTCAGGGCTCCCCTGACACCCGAGGCAGACCCCAAAATGGCAGTCTTCTACCCATAAGGGGAGAAGAAATGAGGGAAGATCTACATCAAGAACAAGGGGGGAAGAAAGATCAACATCTGGAATCAACTGCCCCAGTGGATTCTGCTTGTGGATTTTCTACTTGCCCCATGGGTGGTCTGGCCTTGATAATGGTAGTGCACATGCTTAGCATGCAAAATGTCCCAAGTTGAATCTTTGTTGCCTTCAGATATGGCTGAGAAACAATTCTGAGCTAGATGAACCAGCCTCAGACTTGGCATAAGACAGCTCCCTCTATTTCTAAATATGCACACTTTCCACTCAGTCACAGCGAGTGCCGCTGGGCACAGGAAAGGGTGGTTTGTTTGCCTTTGGTTATCCCCGTCTCCCACCTTTGCATTACTCTGCATGTAAATAAAGATATCACATGAAAATCAATACATATAATGTTGAAATATAATGTCCAAATTACATCATGTATCTGATACAGAAAACACCTGCTTATGAACATTCATGGCACAGTATATTTGCTGAGCTATATAAGAATGTCAGTGGGAACTTTAGTAAAATGTTGCAATGTTAAGTCCTCCTGGTTCTGGGTTCGAGCTAGGTAACCAGCCATGGTTACTTCATTCTCTTCCATTCCATCTTACTAGGATAAAATGTAGATCCTATTAAACATGGATCTTTTACTGCCCAAGAAGAATGAAATAGAAAACTAAACTTACTTGTTTAGGTTTCAAAAATGAGAAATTAGACAAAAAGTCCTCTTTGGTGAGCATGAATTTCCGATCCACATTCTGCCGTAATCCTCCTGAAAAACATCCAATTAGTAGTTATTATTATTATTACTTTAATTTATTACCCATACTTCACCCTAAGCCCCCAGTGCAGCTTACAGCAATTTAAAATGCAACATTAACAATAATTTACAAAAGATAGAATCACAAAAATAGAGTGGTCCTGAAAATCTCAGCCCGGATAAAGAGGCCCATCCAAAGCACAGAGATTATTACAAATAATGTTTATGTGGGGGAGAACCATATATGCTGCCTTGAGCTCCTTGGAGGAAAGCTAGGATAGAAATAAAATTACTAAATTATAAATAAAATTAATTTATTCTTGAAATATATATATACCTTGGCTTTCTGTTTAAAACAGGGACATCCAATGTGATTTACATGAATAAAACAGTAACTTTAAAAGTTATAAACACTAACAGGTAACAAAAAACAGCAACATAACAGATTAGGCAAGAACCAAATCAAGAGTAATGGCTAGCTGAAACAAGGATTGTCAGAGAATTCTGATGAAAACAAACTGGAGTGGAAATTGCCAGTGTTCGCTTATGCAGAAAATAAATAAATCCTTCAAAAATTATCAGTATTTGCTGCTGTTGTTTCTTTTAGTTCACAAAAGACTTGTAATTACATATTTTTCCTCTATTTGCATTGCTTTTCCTTTGCACTGAAATTAATGAAGTGGAATAATGAAATGACAATGTAACTTAAGTAATTATGTAAATTACATACTTTACCCAATTTCACCATATCAATGAAACAAATAATGCAGTTTTGGGTGAAAGATGAACTGCAGAGCAACAGAAACAGTGTTGCATGTGACAAATACAGAGCAAATGGAAAAATGAGGCCTTCTTCCATCCCTAGCTGAATCAGAAAGGTCTGTCATCTAGCAGCCTGCTTGGTTGCTATGCTACCTGCAGAGAAATGAAATATCCTTCTGTGCCACAATGGAAACTCAGCAAGTGGACAAAAGAGCGATGAGACATTCTACCTTTGTCAGTCCACTTGGTAGAAGGCCTTCTTTTTAGCTAACTGAAGGAGCTGTTTATATAGAGATGCGAGAGTTCGGTTTTTTTTAGAAAATAATCTTTACTTCAATAAAATCACAACCAATTAACATACCTGTCGAAAGGCTGACAACTATTCCCACGGCAACTGTGACCAGGGTTCCAATTGTGCTAAAGTACAGATAAGATAAGGAATACCAATAATCTGCAATAGCAGGTCTGCAGGGGGGAAACAGATAGATATATTGTTATTTTTCTACAGTGTAAATCTGAAAATGGAAACTGATACATATTCCTTATTTAATTTAAATATTGTTGTTAAGAGGTTTTCAAACAGGGATAAATAATACAAATTAAACATCAACAATATCCAATAATCAAAACTGAACATCCAGAGAAAGACTTCAGTCAAAACCTAGCAATTGAATACATTTTTGATCCAACAGGCTTTATCCAACTGGATAAATGGGTCTTTACTATGCATGTCCACTTGTTAGGGTTTTAGTCTTGTTTTAAATGTATTTGTTGTATTTGTGTTTTTAACTGTTTTTAATTATCTTACTCTTTTTAATTATTGATGATGATGATAAGCGCTCTTAAGGTTTACTGTACATATATGAGATAAATGCAGTAGTAACATATGAAAACAAAAGCTCAGCATTTTCTGTGTGTGTGATTTGCAAAACAAAGTCCTTATTCGCCTCCCAACAATGCAAACAGAAAAAAACTTCTAATGTGATTGCATTTTGATCAGATGCTGTTGGGCAAATAACAGTAACATTTGTCAGTAACAAATAACATTTGACAGATCTACTATTTACCTCTCATTAGCTTGAGTTTCTAAGGAGCCATTCCAGTAGTTTTCTGTGCCTAGGGTGCTTATGTTGCAGCCTACCGTTGAAAGATTTAATGGCATGGCAGTACTGGGAAGTGGAGGGTATATCTGAGCTCCAATTCCAACCCAAAGGGAAGCTGTAAATCCCCCCATGAGACCTACAAATGCACCCTATAAAACAGAAAGATCAATCTTATTCAAACTTTAAAGAAAAGGGAAAGATGAGAGAAATAAAAGCAACCCACATTATCCCCCATGCTCCATTGTTATTTCAAAATACAGGAAAGAAATCCACTTAGGGTTAAACTACACATTCTGTTAGTCACACATTTAGGGCTGTAGACACCTAAGACAAATAATAATAATAATAATTTATTATTTGTACCCACCCATCTGGCTGGGTCTCCTCAACCACTCTGGGCAGCTTCCAACAAAGATTAAAAATACATTAAAATATCACACATTAAAAACTTCCCTGAACAGGGCTGCCCTCAGATGTCTTCTAAATGTCAGGTAGTTGTTTATCCCTTTGACATCTGACGGGAGGGCGTTCCACAGGGCGGCCGCCACTACTGAGAAGGCCCTCTGCCTGGTTCCCTGTAGCTTTGCTTCTCACAGCAAGGGAACCGCCAGAAGGCCCTCGGTGCTGGACCTCAGCATCCGGGCAGAACGATGAGGGTGGAGATGCTCCTTCAGGTATACTGGGCAGAGGCAATCCTTCATATGTGATACAAGTTTTTCAGGCTAAATGCTGATATTGTTAGCCTGACCTTTGTAAGCTTATTTGTTCCCTTTGTTCTGGCTTGCTTGATTGCTTGCTCATTTGTGTGTGTGTTTACAATTTAAATTCATTTTGCATTTCACCATAGGGACCTTTTGGGATCAAAAAGGTTGCATAGAAAATAGATACATATATTCATCTGTACAAGCATACATACAACAGGCTGCTCTTCTGTCATAAATAAAATACAGGAAGAACACTTACCACAGGATTGGCAAAAGGACAAAGGATGCCCAAAGAAAACAGTCCCAGGAGAGGTCCACCAACCATGCCAAATATACTGAGAGCTGCCTGAGGAAAGAGTAAAACTAGAAATATCAGTCCTCAAAAACAGTGCTGCTGAACATTAAGAAAATGAAAACCAATGTTTAGCTTCCTTGTAATCACTTTCTAGACATCCTGAATAAATACCACTGCTGACGTATGCAAGTGAAAGTAACAGGTTAAACATTGCTTCAAGAAGGCATAGTTGATAAAGAGAATCGGAAGTGACAGGTGATGCTTAACTTTCCTTAGCCACCATTGGTGCCAAAAGCCATTTAGGGGACATGTGATTTAGAGCAGGGATATGACATGTAGGGAAAGGGTTCTTGCCAAGTGCCCCTTTGCCCCTTTCTATCAAGCCCTCCTGAAAGTTTTTGTTTACCTTTTTTAAAAAAATGAATGAATGAATGAAATAAACTGAAGATGAAAACATACTCAAGAGTGTTACAGTAGCTTGAAAGTAACATAAGCTTGAACATTATCATTAAACTTACTGTTCCAAAACATTGCAAAAAACCCCATTTTTATACAAATCTGTTCGGCTGGTTATGTGCATTCTTTTGTAATAAATTAGCTTAATCATAGTAACTATGGACCAATTGTTCTAAATCCATTTGAATATAATAGGAGATTCAAAAGGGGCTTTTAAAAGCCAATCTACTACTGTTATAGTTTGGCCTTTTATCGTAATGTCCCACTGATTTCAGTATCCGCTTTTTATAGCATTCATGGATTTTGATACATTGGCCCACCAGTATGAAATGAAAAGTAGCGTGCTCTAGACTGAATATAAGTTTGCAATCTTAAAACAAGTTAGCTGCAGTCCTCCATTTTCTTATATTACTTGATCTAATTTAAGGCTTTTGCCAAAGTAAGCAGTTTGGAGTATAAAGAATAAAACTTAATCCATTGGTTTGTCCTGTTCTTCCAGTCAATTAATGTGAACTGAGGAATTATTAATCGCCTACCTGTAACAAACCTCCTAGAAGAGATGCCAAGGCAGCCATCGCAATACACACTCCACCATATAATAGACCTAAATGAGTGATACATACAGAAACGTCAAATGGCACCTACAGAATTCTGCACCTACAATCCACGAACCGTGAATTTAGTTTGCACCCATTAAAAATTATAGAAGTGTTGCACAAGATTTATAGAACGCTCACTGCAGGTTTTGCCCTGTGGGTTTTGTTTCACTGACTCTTGATAGCAAATCAACGGTTGATAACAAAACAACTAGGATTATATCTAGGAATAATCACAATCCACAAAAGATCATGTTCTTGTTTGCTTTGGGAAAAAATCACATAAAAACATTTCAAAACCTACAAAGCGACACCACTGGAAATTAAGTTTTTGAAATACTAGTCCTTACAAAGTAAATTAGAGTATTAGTAGTTAAGTTCACAACATGAATCATTTACATTCCTCATCTAATCCTCTAAGGAGATTGCTGTCTATAGATGAGTTCACTGTCCTCAAATGATTTATAAATGCTTGATATTTTCATGATTCACTATCCACCATCGCACAGCTATAATTTGCAGTCAGGGAGTGACAGCCATGCACTAATGCTGCAGTGAGGCAAACTAGTAGTTTGTGCTAGCCACACATTCATCTATATGAGCTACTGTGCCCACTGGAAACAAGCAACAACATTCCAAAACTTCAGGAATGTTAGATATAATCCTGGTGTACTAATGCTGCCTTTACATATCACATCCATATTATACTTCATGCCCATTGCAATCTCCTGTTGGTACTGCTGCTGCAGTTGTTAGTAGCAGCAGCAACAGCAGTAGTAATAATAATAATAATAGTATATTAGTTATTTGGTATTACTAGAGCACCATCAATGTCCACAGAGCTTTACAGAATGCAAGAGGACAGGCCTGTACCCCAAAAATCTAACAATGGCAGCCCTAAGAATAATGAAGTTTGGGGTCCGTTTTCTGAATGTGTCAGGGTAACAAGGGGTTCTGCATCCTGCAGATTCATAGCCCCTCCAACATGCCATGCCCCTGGGACGTCATGCCACACCACCACTGATATAATGCTGGCAACAGGTAATTCACGCTGGCCTTTGGGTGACATAGGTGTTGTCCCATCAACAGACCTCATCTTTGCTGACAGAGCAACACATACACCACTTCCTACGGCCAGTGGCGGAGCTTCATGCTCTGGCACTGGGGGCGGAGAGCAGGTGGGGGCAGGGCTGGTACACATCCCGGGGGTGGAGGGCGACGCCCGCAGGGTGGGGGGCAGCCACAATGGCACCCTGGGGATTGCGCTGCTGGGGGCGGGGCACTCCCCCCACACTCCTCTTCCTCTGCCAGTGCCTACGGCCCCTAAGATGGCACCGACAGATGCACCATTGAGCAAAATGGCACTTACTTCTGAGCAGAGGGGGGCACTGAGCCAAGAGGGTGCCATAGGGGGCGCTGCAACAATGACTGAGAACAGAAGGTAGGGGTGCACCAAATTTTGGCATTGCACAAGGCACCGCTGAAATTTCAAAGCCCAAAGTCTGCCACTGTTCTGAGTAAATATGCATAGTGTTGTACTGTAAATTACTAAATTTCAGCATTGAATATCTGCTTGCAAGCCCTGCTTGCTTAATTTTCTGATTGTACAGCCAATTGTACTATATTTAATAGGTGATATGAATAGGCTTGTGTACCTGCTTAATAGCAAGAAGCAAGATAATTCTGTAAGACAGTCAATAATACAACCACCTTGATTATTCTAATAGTTCATTTAAATAAATTCCTTTAGTTATATTTAAAAGTTACCTATAAAAACATGTTAGAGTAATATAATGTTAACTTTATCAACATTAATGGAAACTATAAACGTCATAATATCTGAGAAGAAAATAAAGACTTGGCTCCTGAAGCTTGAAAAGATAAAGACTTACTCATCCCCATAGAAATCCAAGATAATTTCTTTTCAGTGGGTGATCTGAGATAAGGTTTAATGAGGTCTTCTACAGTCACAGCAGCTAAAGCATTGATGCTAGAGGACACTGTACTAAGGAAGATGAAATATAGTACATTTTAATTGTGTACCTGCTCAGAATAGTGTTTCACTAACACATTAATAACTTGCAGAATAATGAAGCAGTGAATGTGATCTACAGGTGATATCAGGAGAGGCTATAACTACAAACTTTTGTTTCTGAGTGGTATCGTAAGTTTCAGTGGAATCTCAGTAAGGCAATTCTTTGTATGTTAAGCTGATAAAACAGCTTTATTTCTCTGCAAATCCTGTATCATCAACTTTTGCCTTATTAACAGTAACAGATCAGCAGTAATATCTCAGTGCTCACATCCACACCGAGTAAAATAAGCTTGCTCCAACTGAAATAGGCTCCCATCAATTAACCCAATATTAAGCGCTTTTAGAAAGAAAGAAAAGGGGGGAAAAGGTACTCACCATTACAGTAAGTAAGTGCCATACTGTTAACATTTGGGGAAGGTGAGGGTACTGTGTACCCTTGAGCACTCCCAGAAAAAAGCACTGCCTATATTTATATATATTTATTTACTTGGAGAAAATCCAGCTATGTTAGGTGGGGCTTACTTCCGAATGTGAGTATACAGGATTGCAGCCGATATATCTCTCCCAGAAGCATTCCCTTATTCTCGGGGAAGTGGGTAGAAGACTGAAGCCTATATTGATTAATCCACTGATTAAATTTATAAAGGTTACTGTAGTCATCTGAATTCATTGAGAACATATTCCACTTACTCCAATGGATTCAGGATTAATTTACCTTAATGTTCCACTATAGGCACTAGCCACAAAAAGTCCTGGCACACCTGGAAAATCGCGTAGAATATCCAATACCAAATATGGCATGAGCTGAAAAAAGCAATATACATATAAATTATAAAATCATTTCAATTTTGTTATAGAATCATTTCAATTTTATTGTCTTCCCCACATTTTTGTAACTTTCACTATCTTCATTCTTTATCATTTCTCTAAGCTTAAATACATATACAATTTAAATACTTTTTCCTGGCACAAGAAGTTAGGTACAAAATTGGAATTGGAACCTAGAATAGCATTCATTCATGTATTGAATTATGCAAGATCTTTTGAGGACACTGGCTCCAAATATGTAATGGCATTCTTTCTTCAGGGCTGGCCCTACCATTAGCCAGAGTGAGGCAACTGCCTAAGGCAGCAAATGGTAGGGAGAAGCAGCAGCAGCAGCTACCTATTTCTCCTGAGCCTCTTGGCCATTCCTTTCTGTCAGAAATCGGAACTATGTGTGCCAAATAACAAAACCAACCTGTCCTTTCAGGTATGCTGAAGGACACTATCCCATTGCTATTGTTGTAGTAAGATTTACTTGGAGTAGGGAGAACAGGAGCAAATATTTTTTTCTCTTTGCCTCAGGCAGCAAAATGTATTTGGCTGGCCCTGCCCTTCTTTCCAATGAGTGGTCTTGTGACTTCACCTAGTAAGCCCATGTACTCAACATCACATCTGTGTCAAACCAAAAACTACAATGCTAATACAGTACTTTCTTTTGCTCTTCTAAAGTATATATGTATGATAATATTCTATATGTATTAGAAAGTTAAATACGAAACCTGGTCTGGTGCTGAAACACATTTTGCTGTCCAAGGGTCACAATCCTTATAAATGGAGTACATTGCTAATCCAGACAACACTGCACATGCAAGAATTGCCCATAGTCCCAAGAGGTTTATATAAAGAGATCTATGAGGAAATAACAACATTTTTAATCTTGGGAAATACCTGGTAAATCACAGTTATAGTATTGTGTAATTGTGTGCTGCACTGTACCTGAACTCGCTTCCTCTTTGGCAGCCAAAGAAAATAGAACCTTAGTTAGGTTACAATGTACTTACTGGTTTATTTAGCTAAAAAGGCAATGAAAAACATTCAATCATGTGCGTGTTTGTGTACATGTCGCTAAAACAAGCTGTCACATGTCACTTGGAGGAGCTCCTGCTTGCCCTTGCTGCTCTGATATCACTGCATGTTCATAGAGATATTGGCTTTGTTACTGAGAACAGGGCTCTCCTGCCTCTTCTTTCCCATACCAACTCCCAGTGCGCCTGGCCCCCAGTAGCTACTCATGAAGATCAAGAGACCCCTGGGACAGGGTGCAAAAGGAAATGGGTGGGGATTGGGAATGTAAGTGCCTTCCATTTATTCAAGAGTACATTTAAAGCAAAGCCTCTATTTACTGAGCCTCACCTCTGAAAATCCCATTCATGCCTTGCTCTGATTGCTGAGCAGACACCACATACTGCCTACACATTTTCAAGCCTACATATTTTCACAATAACTACTATAGCTAAACTGCTTGGGTCCAATACACTGAATGACTTATTGTTGTTCTTTGTCATTTCTATTTCTAAGATCAACCAGGAGCAACTTTCTATCTTTCAGTGGTGTTGCATCCCTTCCTGTAGTTTCCAGAAACCAGCGACTGTTTTTAATCAAACTCTAGTATAAATTGCTAGCGTTCTGGTCTGAGTACAGTTGGCAGGCTTTGCTTATGGTATTTTAAGATACAGGAAGTCCTGACAGCTTTTCTCTAAAAGTGTTATTCTAAGCAAGTATGTGAAGAATGTCATTTCTGTGAAGCAACAAAAGCAACTTTTCCCTTACTGTTACCATGGCACTAGTCATGATCCAGCATTGACTGACCCTGATCCTACCTAAACAAATTAAAAGGTGAAATTGACTTGGCCTGGTCTTATTGCAATTAGCTTCTTCTAACATTCTTCAGTAGCAAGGCAATATTGAAAGTCAAAAGCATCGTTCTTTTTTGGTGTCTATACACCCATTTTTTCACATATTAGTATAATCAACATTATAAAAGAAACATAGTTCTATCTTAAATTTGTACAGAAACAGGTTGCAAATCTGGTACTTGTTACAAAATTCCTTTCAAAAAATTAAAGTAAATGTGTGTATTTAGAACTTTAGTAAAGTATTTACACCTTTATATAATTATATTTCCAATGCTAATGCTTTTGTCAGCAGAAAACAGGAAATCAATTTTTGGCAATTCCAGCTCCCTTGGCCTTCACACCTCCCTAAATATGATCTAGAGGTACCTTCCAAAACAGATTATGGGAGCTGTGGGGCAGGTGGAAATTGCTGAAAACTGCTCCCTCCCTGTTCAACTGATAGATGGAAGCCTTACCATTAGCAATACCATAGGATACAGCCCTAAGGAAATCAGTTGGTAATTGGTGCTAATTATTATTGATGTTGTTGCGGATGCAATGGTAAGTAACCTTTGATGTAATAATTTGGATGGAGTTGTCCATATAATAAACCAAGATTCATTATTGCATGGCTCTGCACAGGAGTAAGCTGTATTTGTAAATGTTCAAGTATTTATACCATTTACAATTTTTAAAAAGACACAAAGCTACAAACTGCTATAATTTACCCTAATCTAATTGTTCATGTGTATTTGCTTTTGACAAGGTTCACAAAATAGAAAACAGGTCATTTATATCTTTTATGACTAGATTTTTTAAACCCATAATATCAAGAATGCAATTTAAAATTGAAACGTTTTGCAAAGAACAGATTATGCCAGTCGGTCAAAATAATGAACTTACAGCTTTGCTTGGAATAGGGTTTTGCAGGCAATGTATCGTTGAACTTGAGACTGGTTGATTCCATATATTCCAAGCCAGGTGAAAGTCCCACCTACAATAATTGTCCAGAATGTATGCCTTTGCAAAGGATCAGGGTTAAAACTAAATTAAAGGGAGGGAAATAAAACTGTGAAAAAATGGTCTTTAGACTCTTTCCATGTTCACATTCAATTTATACACAAGTTCTCAAGCAAATTGAAGAAATAACAATGGTTAAATATTAAACTCAACTAAATACAAAATAACACACACACACGATATTTGAAATACATAATGCAAGATGCAATAGTTCCTTATGAATAAGAGCATTGGTTGTATCATGGTGGCTTTGGACTGGTGTAGTGCTGTCATACGTCAGAAGCAGTGTCTGGGCGGAAATCAGGAAAACCTATGTTAGCAATGTCGTTTTTGCTAATTTTCCTTTAAAAAAAGCTCAACAACTTTTGTGTCCGGACTTTCACTTTTTGAAATATGGCAACCCTAGACTGGTGGCAGGGCATCCCATTTTCAATCTATGCATTCATACAGTCCAGTGATTCTCCTTTCAGCACTAGGTCATTGAAGGTGGCAGGGAATGTTGACCCAGCCAAGATCATGCCCATACCTGATGAGTTTGCGTGGGAGATGTTTAAGTGAGATGGCATCCCCCAAGTGCCACCTTGGGCTTCTTTGGCAAACTTGCTAGTCACAGGAGCAATGATCCCTCCTGGACCAGCACAATCCCCATCCCGTCTTTCAGCGACCTGGTGCTGGAAGGAGAAATGCCACATGGCTGTAGTGTTCCCTTTCACTGTCACTTTTTCCTGCCACTGCCTACCTCAGCCACTCTCATAAGCTTGGGGACGACTACCTGGAAGGAACTCAGAAGGTACTTGTGGAGCAATCAGTAGGCACCTTGCCAGCTAGATATAGCCAGGATGGGCAAGGGTTCAAAGCACAGCTGCAAGGAACATACATATTAAGACTGCTGCAGCTGAAGTGAAAACTGCTCTGGAATCAACATGGAGTCCAAGATGTAGAGGCTACAAGATAATGTATATAAAGTGTCTGTCGCAATGAGTCACTGAGAAGTCGCCTATTCTAGACCTCAAATTACTTGGAAGAAGTAAATCAACTGACACTACACTGATGCAATGGTGGTGGTACAGAAGAAGGATTGCTCTGCTACCACAGAGTGAGCTCAGAAATGAAGTCAACCCTATGCTCAGTCATTCAAATAAGTCTCTCTTCCATCTGTGTTTGATGAAATGTCAAGGCTGCTGCTTTATCAGCTACAGTTCCCTGCTCATCACCAGAAATGTACAGGCTTAGTTAGTAGTGTTGGTAAGATAGTGATAATGCTAGTCTGCTACACTGCATCCAGTGTGGCCTATTCAAGATTTTCCCTGACTCAATGCAGATTTTTTAAACATTTTTTTCAGTCTAAGGTTTTGGCACAAGCACATTCATTGTTAAGGGTAATACAAAATTATAGCAGTTCTCAAACAAACCTTAAAGCTTCTTAGAAATGCAGAAATGATCCCTTTCTGCAAAGTGAATAACTATCTATATTGTTTATGTTGCACAAAAAAACTCTACTTTTTTATTCATGAATGCTTTATAAGATAACTAATAACCTTACCCTAAGCATATACCTAGAATAAATGACACTGATTACAATGATGCATAAGTTAAATAATATATTTAAGGTTTAGTTGCAAAATTCTGCTGTAATACTGTAGCCGAAACAAATAAAAAACTTACTCCCAGAAATTTAATCTTCCTCCATGGTAGGAATCATTTAGAATTGGTTCAATGCCATGTTGAACAACCACAGCACGTATAATCACAGATGTAAAACCTGCTACCATGATTCCAACTTGAAAAACATCCGTCCAAACTACTGCTTTTAGACCACCCTATGTGGAGAAAAACAGATAGATTAATAAACAACCTAGATTACTTCTTTGTCAATAAAATGTATCAGAAGAGAAGAGAAGGGAACCCCCACCCCACCCCCGGAGAATTAATGTTTTGAAGGACCTAACAACTTCAATGCACTTCTCTAACCAAGCCATTCCACTGCTGTGGAGGCAACACAGCATCACCAGCTTTGGTGCACCCAGAGACAGCACTACCAACAGAGCCTCCCCTATCACCTTTAAGGCCTTGGGTGGCACTCTTTTAGGTAATTGTGTTCCAGCCATTCAAGACTTTGGGTCTGGTACTAAAACTTTAAATTGGTCCTAACAGCTCATGAGCAGCCAGTGCAGCACTTTCAGGACCCATGACACATGATCCCATAGGGCTCCACCACTCACCAATCCTTCTGCATTTGGTGTGGCTTTGAAACTGTCTCCAAGGCCAGCCCCTTGTAGAGCACATTGCAGTAGTCTGGATGGGGAGTCACTACAGAATGGACTACTGAGCGAACTAGCTTAAACTGGGCATAAGCACTCCTGCCCACTGAAGCTACCTGAGAGTCCAGTGGCAGGTTGGAATCCAGGAGTACTACCAGACTACGAACCTCTTCCTTCAGGAGGAGAGCAACCCCTCCAGAAAAAGGTTGCCCACCTAATACTCAGAAATGAGAACTGTCCACTCATAGCACCTCTGTCTTGTCAGGGTTCAGCCCATCCTGGCTTCCAGGCACCGGTGCAAGACCTTCACAGTGTTATATAAAATAATTTTATGGGATGCAAATAATTTTATGAAAATTTGCATTCAATTTTTAAAATATTTATATGCAAAAATAAAATGAATTTTAAACATACCAGTGTGCAATAGAAGGTACAGACTACTCCTGTTGCAACCACTGCACCCCACAGGTCAAATCCTGTAACTAGAAAAGAAAATATAAAGTGTAAAGGAATGAGGGGGTTTTTATGATAGATGCTTATTTTGGTGTTTGAACAGTAGATACAAAGAGCACTGGAAATAATTCTTAGTGGTAATTAATTACAATCTGACCTTTGATCGATTCTTCCCTACTGGCTTGTTTGGAATTATGCCCATAAAACAACTCTGCACAACAGATGCTATTGACTATGTTAACTAAATAGAACCTGAACACAGAGGCAACGATATCTGATCCTCTCAATAAACAACAATTAAATGACACCAATATCATGCTCAGCTCATTAGCTGCCAGAGGTAGTTGGCTTGCTTTTGCTGGAAACAAAATTATAGGGTGGATGGACTTTGCTCTGCTCCACCAAGGCAATTCTAATTTGACCTGTAAGGGTGCACTTTATGGCTTGCCAGATGTTTGATAATCATCCTGATTTGTAGCCTACCAAGACTCCCTGTGTAGGGGCCAGAACCATGGTCCCAAGACATGTCCCAAAGCTGCCATGCTGCCATAGAAGTTGCCGTCTGAAACATCTTGAAAGCACCAAGCTAGGGAAGGCTGGTCTAAAGATGCATGATATATAAATCTTTCTGAAACTAAGGAGGTCATAGACTGGTGATTGACTGGATGGGAGACTTTCTGAGAATACTGTGTGGTATTTCTTCCATCGTGGAAGAAAGACAGGTTATACATGTAATGAATAAAATTCAAGAAATTGAACATAAAAAATGGCTGTCTTGGTGATTTGAGTTGTGAACCCTTGCTGCAAAGATATACTTGATAAATAGTTTGTCAGGGAACTGACATCGGAGCCAGAGGCGGAGGCAAGGCTCCCGAGTGATGCTGGAGAAGGGCCCAGCAGGGAGAGAGGCAGCTCATCAGCTGGGGAAGGAAATCAGCGTAACACCAGGGATAAAGGGGGGCAGATGGGGGAATCGGCGAGGGGGCTCCAGGACTCCTCGCCGGAGACCAGCGGGGAGAGCACGGGTCCTCCGCTACCCACACCCTCCCTGCGCAGAAGACTTCCGCGCAGGGAGAGTAGGAGGAGACTTGGAGTCAAACAGCTTTTATGCTGGAAAAGGTTTAAGAAACGCCCACTGACAGATTCTGCTAGCGACTGAAACAGCCACGAAGTGAAGGGCTGTCCAGACAGAAAAGGTTTAACAAGGCAACCTAGCCAGGAGTGGCGGCAACTTACGCACGAGCAACCCCTATATTTATGACATAGTTTCATAGATATAGTTTTAACTGTTTGGCTTATATTTATTGGTTTAATTATTATTATGTTATTGATTTTATTGTTTGAATATGACTACTGCCCTTCTTGATGGATCTAGTCTAGAAATGCAGTGAATAAATCAAGAAATATAAAAATTTGAATTAACCATCCATGTACATTTTTCAAGAAGGTAACTATACCACATAGTTTATGCATTTCCCCCTTTAAAATCCACACGAACCACTATTCCACAATATTTAGGGTCCATTAAGCCTAGAATATTTACAACATTATGTTGGATGGTAATGAAAGCAAAAGTTAGCCAGAAGTTACTTCTCAAAGCATAGCTGCTGTTCTATGCTGGAATTTTAGATTGGCAAACCTTTGCTGAAGTTAGCAGAAATATACAAAGGCTTCATAATAGGTCTTGCTTTATACAATAATTGATAACAGATATTAAAGAATAAGCTCTGCTACCATAAATTCATTTATTCATCTTACCTTGATTTAAAGCCAAGGCTGGGGCATAAATGACAATTCCAGTGTATAATATCTGGAACAGAGGATACAGACACAAACACAACATTTTAAAGATCATCCCATTTTATTGCTAAAAACAAAACCTTCATACAGGAGCAGTTTCACTTTTTAAACAATTTTTAACACTCTCAAATACTCCACTTTCCTTTCTCTAAAGATGCAAAGTGATAAAAGCTTCAAGAAATCTTTAAAAGACTTTGGAACTTTTAAGCTTCAGAGCTAGTCTTGTTTTATTTTGTTGTAGTTTACATTCTATTATTCCTAGTAACGGTGATGGGTGATTAGTAAATGTTGATTAGATATTGTTATTTTTTTACTTTGTTTCAATGTACATTAATAAGAATTTGGGTTAGGTTGATGACAGCTAAATAAGCTGTTCAGGGGGTTAACAAACTTAGAAGTTTGGGAAACTGGATCACTAGGAGATTGAGGGTTGCAGGTGCTGTAACAGAGGGGTTCCATAGTAGTTCCATTCCTCTCTACAGGATCACTATAAGATAGCAGATTCCCATTCAGCCCCATGGCATTCATGCTGTGAATGTCCCACAGGCTTCTGTTCTACCACCAATGCTATTCCATGTTTGCTTATTTAATAGCATTCCTATACCACTTAATCATCAAAACCTCTAGACAATTTACATAAAATATACATTAAAATTACCAAAAAAAGTCAGGTGCTAAAAACAAGTTAACCAAAACCTTTTAATATTGGAATAAAACCAGCAGTTTTAAAATATAATACATAATACAATGCAATATATTAAAATTTATTATAATAATATTACAAATTAAAATTTACATGTCTGAGTAGACTAACTCAAACAAAAATGTTTTTAGCAAGTGCTGAACAGAGTACAGTGGTACTTTACTTCTCGAACGTAATCTATTCTGGAAGTCCCTTCGACTTCCAAAACGTTTGAAAACCTTCTGATTGGTGCAGGTGCCCTGGAAACAATTGCCAACAGCTGCATCGGACATCCGATTTCCAAAAAACGTTCAAAAACCGGAACACTTACTTCTGGGTTTTTGGTGTTTGGGAGCCGAAATGTTTGAGTACCAAGGCATTCAAGAACCAAGGTTCCACTGTACAACAAAAGTACCTGCCTAATATCAATGGGCAAGGAGTTTCAGAGTATAGGTGCTGCCACTGCAAATTATCAATTCCTTACAGGTGCAGAACAAATATTATGTGACATTTGCAGAAGTGCCAGGTCTGCAGACTGAGGCACCTTGTGCACGATATACAGTCGTACCTTGGAAGTGAAACGGAATCCGTTCCGGAAGTCCGTTCGACTTCCAAAACATTCGAAAACCAAAGCGTGGCTTCTGATTCCATTCAGAAGCTGTGGAAACCCCGCTGGACATTCGGCTTCCAAAAGAATGTTCGAAAACTGGAACAGTCACTTCCAGGTTTCGATTATTTGGGAGTCAAAATGTTTGAGAACTAGGCTCTTTGAAAACCAAGGTACGACTGTATAAATAAAAGAAGAATACTTCACACTGTAGCATAGAATTGTAGAGTTGGAAGGGACCCTCAGGGTCATCTATTCCAACCTCCTGCAATGCAGGAATCCTGCCCACAGCTACCCCTGGGCAGTGGCAGACCTGGCTGCATGGGCACCCGGAACAGCGGCCATGCCATGCACCCGGGGGGGGCAATCCTCCGGGGCAGTGGGGTGAGCCCCCGCGGTGTGCCTTTTTGTCACCCCCCTCAGAGATGGAACCCTACGCGCCCCTGCCCCTGGGTGGGTTTGAACAACCAACCTTCTGGTTAACAGCCAGATGCACTGACCCATTGTGCCACTGGGGCGCATGTTCAGTTCAGAGTTCCTTTCACAGTTCCTTAAATATTTATGTCTTGTAATGAGTTACAACACTCTCAGTGATTTCAGTGGCACAAGGATTACCCCCGTATGTTCCTACCTCATTGTAGTTAATATAAATAACTATATTGAAGCTTGTTCACAATCTCACAACTGAAGCTTCTAATGTCAAGCTTACCATATTTTTTGCCCTATAGGACGCACTTTTCCCCCTCCAAAAATGAAGGGGAAATGTGTGTGCGTCCTATAGGGCGAATGCAGGCTTTCGCTGAAGCCTGGAGAGCCCTACCGCCAGCCCCACAAGCTCGGGGGACAGCGGGGAGGCGCAGCGCGCCATCCCGCTGTCTCCCGACATCGTTTGGAGGCTGGCGGCGGGGAGAAGCCTGCTTGTCCCCACCGCCAGCCCCGCAAGCTCGGGGGACAGCGGGGAGGCGCAACGCGCCCAGGCTTAGCTTCAGCCGTAGGAGCCCGGCGCTGGGCTCCCACAGCTTGCGGAGAGCTGCATGTTATGGGGGCTGGGGTCGGGGGAAGCTCGGGCTTCCCCCGTCCCAGCCCCGCGCCTGGGGGGGAAATAATTTTTTTCTCCTTTATTTCCCCCCCCCCCCCCAAAAAAATTAGGTGCATCCTATGGACCGGTGCGTCCTATAGGGTGAAAAATACGGTATATTACAGCTACTATTTGCGGTAGATAAAACATGCTTCATATACACTAGGCTAAATAACAATGGATGGCATTCAAACAAGTTTTACTCAGAGTAAACCTACTGAAATTAATGAATATGACTAGGTTAAGTTGTGGAACTTCTTTGGCACAGAGGTAGGTTTGTAACGTTCACTATTCACTTTCATTGAATGCTGAAGTTGCATCTCTTTCTATCTTTTTAGCCTGGCCTTTGATACTTGAGATGTCTGTTTTCAGGACCCATCCTATTCCTATGGCTGTAATTTGTTTTAATTGTTTTTAATTTATGAATTTTACATTGTTGTTGTAGTAACATGCCCTGGGACTCACTGGTGAAGGGCAGATAATCAATTTTAGAAGCAGTTGTAGTAACAGTGATTTCAGTGGGTCTACTCCTCCAAGTAAAACTTAATTGAATACCACCCAATTAGTTTGATTTGTACATTTCTTAATATCTGAGGTTTCTAAATCAATGTCCTTACCGTAAGTATAATGAAGAGAACTGTCCCACACAGGCGGAGGTATTTATTAAATCGAAGTTCTAAATACTGTAAAAGTAAATACATAAAATGGTCATGAACAATTTTTATGTAGTCGGCAAGGAACAGTTCATTTCACATTGAAGAAGATTATATTAATCTGGAGGAGAAAGGGGTTGATTTTCCATTTATTATTTGACTGCTCAGATCGTAGTCAATTTTCCTTATTTTCTTTTGCCTGCTACAGCAACTATATATTTATTTTGTATTTATTTATTTAAATAGACTACATTTTCATATAAAATATCATAAGGCAGCATACAGCCTAAAATACACAGTAAAACAAAATTAAAAATGTGAAAGACATCAGTAAAAGCTGGTTGGCAAAGAATCTCAGGTATGAAAGTCCTAATTAAATCATCCTTTTTTTACAAAAAAAAAAAAAAATCTAAGCATGAGCAGGGATGACTCTTGACAGATAGTATGACTAATGGCCAGGGATAAGGGGAGTTATAGTTCAGCAACAGCTGGAGGGATAAAAGTCCCCCACACCTGCTCAATTGGGAGAGGCTGTGAAAGCTCTGGATTGGCATTTGAATGCAGTAGTGGGCTAGATGAAGGCAAATAAACTGTGCTCAACAGAGGCTCCTTGAGTGGGTGGTTCTCATGTCTAGAAGATAAGTTAAGTTACCTGTTCTGGATGAGGTTCCACTCTCTCTCTCTTAAGGAGCAAGTGTGTAGCTTGGTGGTACTCCTTGATATATCCTTGTACAGTGGTACCTCCGGTTACATACGCTTCAGGTTACATATGCTTCAGGTTACAGACTCCGCTAACCCAGAAATAGTGCTTCAGGTTAAGAACTTTGCTTCAGGATGAGAACAGAAATCATGCTCCGGCAGCGCGGTGGCAGCAGGAGGCCCCATTAGCTAAAGTGGTGCTTCAGGTTAAGAACAGTTTCAGCTTAAGAATGGACCTCTGGAACGAAGTAAGTACTTAACCTGAGGTACCACTACGCTGAGCCACTCAAAGCTGATGGAAGGCACTAATGCTGCTTGTTGTTTCCCCAGACTACAAAACTGCTCCTTAAGGGTACAATCTTTCACCTCTCCAATTCCCTGACAAGGAGACGATGGTGGATTCAACTTCAGCTTATTGTCTCTCATCCGGCCCACCATTGCATCCAGGCACTGATCCAGAATCTGCACACCTTCTCCTGACTCAGATGTTACAGAGAAACAGAATTGTGTACCATCAGCATACTGATGACAATTCACTCCAAATCTCATAATGACATCTCCAAATGGCTTCATATAACCTAGAGGACAAAAATGAGCCCCATAGCAAAAATGATCAAGCTGCTATGGGGCCAAGAAATCATCACCTAAAACTGGAAATGGTCTCAGATATAGGAGCACTGTTTTACAGTGGGTTTTGCTCCTAACTCCCATTACCTGAGTGAGAGAGGTTTGAGAGTGGTGGTGGTGGCAGGGCATGGGCTGGTTGTCTTTAGTTGACTGCAGTAAGATTTGTACATTGGCAAATGTTTGCACGAACATGTACCTACATGTGCAGCCTAATTCCTAAACCAGGCACTTGGATTTCACTAGTTTACCACAAGAGCTGAGCAAACAGATCTACAAATATTGTTTTGGGATTTTCATTGCTTTTTCCTTTGGCTGCTTTCTACATGAAGACTCTTTAAAGCTAATGTTTTCCAAATGGGGCTACAAGACGTAAAGTCCTTATGCGTTTGTTGTGCTTTGTCCCCATTGTGTGAGTATATATATATATATATATATATACTACAATGTGGAAACAAAATGTAAATTTACTATTTTTAACCATTTAGAATTTATTGATGTTTTCATGGATGTCCTTTGCTGATTTTATATGCATTTGTTGCATGCTGCCTTGATTTGTTTCTGCGTGCAGGTTGTAAATACGATATTAAAATATAATGGATGATCCAAAGAGCAGAATCGGAGGTCCTGACTGCGAAGGAACTCTATTAACCCCGAAAGCAACCTCGGGAGGTTCACCAACTGCGCCAGAGAAAGTTAGCGGGAGTCCCCTCCTCCTACCTCGTAGGTGCTGGTGATGCCCAGGCGGTAGAAGACGGGCACGAAGACCTCGGCGCTCAGGATGACCACCAGCGCGTAGGTGATGGCGAAGACGCTGAACCTGGCCCCGAAGCGGTACACCTCCGACGGGGTGCCCAGCACCGTCACGGCCGACATGAAGCTGGCCGTCAGCGACAGCGCCACCGGCAAGGCCGACATGCTGCGGCCCCCCATCAGGAACTCCTGCGAGCTCTTCTGCCCGCCGCCCGCGAAGGCGTAGTACACGCCGATGGCCGCCGAGATGAGCAGCATGGCCCCGAAGACCACGTAGTCCCACGTGCCGAAGCCCCCGACGGCTTGGCAGCCGCTCATGACGCCCGGAATGCCGGCGCTGACAAACAGGAGGGAAGCGCCCACGGAGAAGAAGGACGGCGCAACTCTTCGGCGCAACTCTCTCTCTCTGTCCCTCAGCGCGGAAGATGCTGGGCAGGCGTGCGCTTCCACTTCCCCAGGCGCCCCCGCAGTTCGCGCGCTCACTCGCTCGCTCTCAGCACGTGCCCTTTTGGCGCGGGAAGCGCTCCTGCTGCTTCTCCGCACCCGCAAGCGCCCACCGGAGCCTCCCGGTTGCCCACGAAGACCTTCGGCTTTTCTTATCCGCTCTACTTTTTCATCACCCTCTTCCCTTCTTTTATTCCTACCCCGCACCTTCCTTTCCGCTCTCCCTCCCCTTTCTAGTAATTCCCTTCTTCTTCTTCCCTCACGCGCCTCTGCGCCTTCGCTCCTCTCAGAGGAGCCTCCTGGAGCGAGAGGCGCCGTCCAGCGCAGCTGCTGCTGCTGCTGCTTCTCTCAGCGCAGCCGGTGAACGGAATGCCCGTCTCTCTTTCCTCGCCCAGCGCCGCAGCAAAGCTTGCCTCGTCTCCGGTTTGGTCGCCTGCCTTGCGCGGGAGTTCAGCGGCGAGGGACAGCTCCCGTCTCTCTCTCTCAGCCTCGAGACGGAGCCACAGGCGAGGGGATTCCTCGTTTCAGCACCACCAGCGACTCTGCAGGAGGCAGCGCGAGAGGGAGAGCTCACGAGACAAGACCCAGGTAGGCTTGGGCGACAGAGCAGCAAAAGTGGCGAGAGCTGAAAGCAGCCCCGCCTCCTGCAACTGGAGAAGGACGAGCCCCGCCCCGTGGAAGAGAGGTGACTCTGGTGGATTCGCCTTAAAGGAAGTAATTGACCTGAATTCAGAGGGGAGTCTCCCTTCGTTATTCAAATCAAAACGCCTCAATTCCCATAATCAAGGGCTTAATTCCAGCAGAGGCTGAAGGTCCGCTCTTGAAATAGTTGCACAATGGGAAGGCATGAGATACTGAGTCCCAACGACACAAAGACTGGGTGTGCCAGCCCAGCTGTGGCCGTGATGAACCCTTGTGAATGAAACTTGCTTGTCTCACCTGACTGACACATGGGTGGCATATCTGCTTTTAGTGCATGCTTACTCATTCTTTTATGCAAAGCACCTAATATATCCCAACACCTCCACTGCCCGCTTTATGCACTGGAAGAAGTCGTAGCTAAGATGCCACAGGGAACTTATTATTATTTATTAAATTTCTGTACCACCCTTCATCTGAGAATCACAGGTGATTTATAATGCAAAAACACAAAAATACATAACATAGTAAGAAACAAAAACAATAACCCCACTCACACACAGTTTAAAAGGCCAACAATTGTTTAATTAGCCAAAGGCCTGAGGGAAGAGTTTTGCCTGACATCTCAAGATATGTAACAAAGGCACCAGGCAACCCCTTTGGGTAGAGCATTTCACATTTCTGAGCCGCCACAGAAAAGGCCCGCACTACCTGGAAAAGCTCTGCTGGATGGCACAATGAGGATGCAATGGAGGCAGCAAAGTATAATAATAATAATAATAATTTTTATTTATATCCCGCCCTCCCCAGCCGAAGCAGGGCTCAGGGCGGCTAACAACAATAAAACAGTACAACAGTACAACACAACACAACACTCTAAAATCATTCATTATAAAATTAATCCAAATCAAACCAATGGCAACCAATGGCGGAGATTGCCGAAGGAGGGAGTCAGGCTGTGCCCTGGCCAAAGGCCTGGTGGAACAACTCTGTCTTGCAGGCCCTGCGGAAAGATGTCAAGTCCTGCAGGGCCCTAGTCTCTTGTGACAGAGTGTTCCACCAGATCGGAGCCACAGCCGAAAAAGCCCTGGCTCTAGTTGAGGCCAGCCTAACCTCTCTGTGGCCTGGGACCTTCAAGATGTTTTTATTTGAAGACCGTAAGTTTCTCTGTGGGACATACCAGGAGAGGCGGTCCCGTAGGTACGAAGGTCCTAGGCCGTATAGGGCTTTAAAGGTTAAAACCAGCACCTTAAACCTGATCCTGTACTCCACCGGGAGCCAGTGCAGCTGGTATAGCACCGGGTGAATGTGATCTCGCAGCGAGGACCCCGTAAGGAGTCTCGCTGCAGCATTCTGCACCCGCTGGAGTTTCTGGGTCAGTCTCAAGGGCAGCCCCACGTAGAGCGAGTTACAATAATCCAGTCTGGAGGTGACTGTCGCGTGGATCACAGTGGCTAGGTCAGGGCGAGAGAGGTAAGGAGCCAACTGCTTAGCTTGGCGGAGATGGAAAAATGCCTTCTTTGCTGGCTTCACTGCAACTAGATAGGCTTAATGATGAGCCCTCACCAATGTTTGATTGCATTCGACTGGAGTTTTCCATCTCCTGGCTTGTTTCCTCACCTCAAGCTCTGGAATATACCAGAGAGCCAAAGAGGTTCAATGAAGTGGGAGAGGGCACTCAGGGGCAATCGTGTCAAACCATTTGCATATTCCAGAGGTCAGAACCAGTCATAACAACTGGAAAACCCCCAGAGCCATCTAGAAACCCATTGAACCCTTCAGTTTCTGAGGATGGACCATCTTAATAGGTCCCCCACCACTGCAGAAGGGGAAAGGGACTGAAAGTTTAACTCTCAACAGGAAGTAATTTGACTGTGATAAGGGACTGATGTCATTATCTTCCACTTTCAGATCACCCTTTTCCTGCCCGGTTGAAAAAAAAAGGCCCAGAGTGTGGCCTGTCACATGCATTGAATGTTGGGACAACCCCATGGTCGTCATGGCTGTCATAAAATCCTGATCCACCCCAGAGCCAGTTGCCTCAGCGTGGATGTTGAAGTCCCCCAAAACCAATGGTCTGGGAGTCCTCAACACTGTCTCTGAGACCAGCACTGTCAGGGAGACTGTTGGGCAGTAAGGCAGGTGGTAAATTAGCAGAATCTCTTATCTGTCCCAATTGCCCAATGCCAGGAACACACACTCTAGATCCCTCCCCATCTGGACAGAGAGCCTGCGCGCGCGCACACACACACACACACACACACACACACACACAGAGAGAGAGAATTTCTACAGACCACAGCAATTTCCCTTCCCCAGACCTTGAGTCTGCACTGATGCTGCCCTGAGTACCCAGGTGACCACAGTTGGATGAGACCAACTCCACCCTGCTCACCCACCCAGGTCTCTTATTCTTTTGCCACTGGGACAAACACATAGGGGCCCCTTCTTTATATTGTACATTATTTTTTGTGCTCATGATAGTATTGGGGCAGTTATGCAATCCCACACTGATTGTGCTTGCAATCAGAGTGGACATACTGTTTCATTTTCCATGCAGTGCATATCCCATAATGTCATGCTGAAACCCTGTAAGTTTTTTTATACTACAGATGTAACAATATAATTAAAACTGTTTAAAACATTCTACAGTGCAAAAGTGTGCCCGCCAGACAACAATGCAAAAATGTCATCGCCCCCCCCCCCAACAATAATGCAATAACACTGGGGAAGCATTGCAGAACAACAACACAAGGGGAATAGTGTTGGGAGGGTCCAATATGAATCCACACCAATGCACCATTTCTGCATCAGTAAATGACATGCCGCAGAATACACCCATCCACGCACACACAAAAACAGTCTGGAGTGGCCCATAGGAAGAGCCAGTGGAGGGGATAAGAGGGGCAAATGCCACCTCTTCAGACAATCAACACAAGATAATATCACCAAACAATAAATGTCCATAAAAATGGCAAAAGTAGTTCCTTTCCCAAACAGGTTTTCTAAAATACAAGTGTTCTAAAATTTGAGTCTTAACAGGGCGGGTGGTAGCACCAATGCATATCAGCTGACAAGTGCATTCGATTAAATAAATTACATTTCTGATGCCAGTTAGTGAACCTTTTCGATTTCAGAATTGTGGAGCTGTTAGGGATATGGTAAGAGGCAGTTTCAATAGCTTGGTTGCAGGCTAAACAGCCTTCACACTTAAAGTGTCCCACCGGTAGATGAGAAATTTTCTGTAGTCTTTTAAAATCACTGTGAACAAGAATATATTTTAAATTGTGGGTTCTGCAGAACCCTTCAAGGGAAGGGGATCACAACCCGCAATGTGAGATACAATGCCCCAGTATCTGTTTATGATTAGTCTTACTTCCATTGTCTGCAGAGTAAACTCAAAAGAACCAGGTAATATGTTTTTGTGGTATTTTGCTCTTGGGTACAAGAAGGTCCCGTCTGTCACATGCATCTGCTTTCACCCGAGCTTTATGAATAACATGCCAGGGATATGCTCTATTTACCAGGGCAATCTCTAGCTCACCTGCTGCTCGTTGGTATGCGTCCAAAGTAGAGGAATTCCTTTTTCTACACAAAAATTGGCCCAAAGGTAGGTTACATTTAAGTTGCTGCAGAGGGCTCTGGTTGGAGCAGTAACATGGTTTGATAACCCCTTGTTTTCCTATTGTAAATAACAATTAGGTGGGAAGCTGGGAGAATGCAAGAACCTCATTTGGAAGCATGTTGTGAAGTCAGTTGGACTGGTTTTCAGCTGGGTAAGATCCCAAACGGATATGCCAATTTAAATAGTAATTCTATTTAAATATGTAACTTCTTTCTATGTAAAGTAATTAAAGTTGTCGGCCTCAGTGGTCTTAGAACTCAAATGGCAATAATGAGTGTGAGGAAATAGCATCTTAGCAACACCCACACTCTTTTTAAATAGTTGTATGATGAGACGCTTTCCCAGATTGCAGAGGATGGTGCGCATTAAATCAGTGTGTGACTTAATCTGGACAGGATTAGCTAGTAAATTCGCTACTGTAATTAGTAGGGAAAAGAAAGTTCACACCATCTTCTCAGAACAGTTATTGCTTTGACTCATACTCTCGACTGAACACTTTCACACAATCACAGAATTGTAGAGTTGGAAGGGACCCTGGGGGCCATCGAGTTGAACCCCCAGCAATGCAAGAATCTGAGCTAAAGCATCCATGACAGATGGCCATCCAACCTAAGCTTAAAGACCTCCAAAAGGTGTTAAGTGTTCCTGAACTGTCTCAAATAACATACTGAAGACTCATAATGGGGGTGGAAGAGAGATTCCTGCACCTTTCACAATGTAGAAATCTAGAGTTTTGGAGTGCATCCTCGTCCATATGCTCATGACACACAAGTCTACCAGCAGGTGTGGTGGTGGATGTGCTAAGTGCCTGGCCTCAGTAGTGGGCTAGATGAGAACCAAATAACATGCTCAGTTCAGAAAAGTGAAATGCATCCTGTTCTGGGCTGGGTTATACTTCCCTTGAAGGAGCAGATGTGCAGCTTGGGGCTACTCTTTGATTCAATGATGTAACTGGAGGCACAAGTGGCCCCAGTGCCATGGATTGTTTGTACTGTACCAGCTTTGGCTGGTAGCCCAGTTGCAATCCTATCAAGATGGTCATAGCTTGGCTTTGGTGGTCTATGTTCTGGTAGACTACTACTGCAATACATTGCATGTGGGGCTGCCTTTGAAGATGTTTTGAGACTATGCTTATGGGATTTTATTATTGTATATCTTACTTGGTTGTTGATTCAGGACCTTTTTTTTTAATTGGGAAGCAGTATATAAATGTAATAAACTTAACCTGAACATAACATAGTACTATCTTGAACTCCAGAAAACTGGCCACTAGAAGATCTTACAATTAAGAGTCTCCCGATGTATGAGAGAAAGAAGACTCCCACGACCATAGGAGCTTCTTTCACTTTCTTCCTCA